TGTAGTGAATTGACGTCTATTCATCTTTATATACAGCAGTAATAGTCAGTGCTGATTTTCGTATCTAGGATTTGAAGTTGATGTTGACAGAAATCTCGTGTATCTTGTTCAGCTCTCATGGACCGTCACCATTGTGAAGTACAGCATTATCTATTGTTTGTATTTGACATAACTGTGTCATCGCTCCGTCGTGAAGAATGGTTCCCTGGCAGCTCTAGGAGGAGAGGGTCGTATCCATTTGCCTACAGAGCACGACCTCTGGTATAACAAGACCAGATCGAGGCTAATTCAGGTAACACTGTGCATGAAAACACAGGAATGAGGCTCTGTCGTGCCCAACCAACATCTACAGCCGGAAAAATCTTTATAGTGTTTTGTCCTGTACAAATATTTACGCTTTCAAGACTTTACAAGAATGATCACATGGCCAATATTTTAAATTATTGATTAAGTTACTGTTAGGTCATAAATAAAAAGAAATCAACTATAATAAGCAAGATTTTATGAATTTGCCATCATAATTCATGGATCGTTTTATGTTTGATTACGTTAAAAATTGAATTTTTAAACATTTTGTATTTGTACACGGTTGAAACTCTTCAAATGTGTTGGAAGGGAGCTTATTATATGTTTGAATTCTAAATTTATTATATTATTTCACTTCAAATATACAGGAGAGACGATCATTACAAAAACCAAATTTTATTTGGTCAAAATCTAAGAATTAAATTCAGAAATTTTTTTCTCTATCTGGTAATCTTGCTAACTAATGTGAATATTTACATGCTTCAATGACATACGAAACTTATCTTTCTTGTCCGGAACCGTCTATGGAGAAAAGTATCCTTTAGGGTAGAGTGGGGTAATTTCGACCTCTTCTGCTGATTACCCTGACTTACCCTATAGTCGTCATTTTCTTTAGAATATTGAAAACATTTTGTCTCTTTGGCTTCTAGAAATATACAGAATATATTTTTTAACACATACTTTAATTCTAAAGTCTTTGGTCCCACCCTTCACAAAACAAGACAACGTCAACTTTTGTCCCCATTTACGAAAACATGTTGAACCAGATTTTGTTGAAGTGATTCGGGCCAGAGAAGAAGACAAATAATAAAGGTCTCCGGAGGGATTGAAGCTCACAATCTGAAAGAAGTAACATGTACTGGAGTTATAATTGCTTAATTTAAATATGGACAAACAAAAACTTTGAACATATTTTTAAAATGATTTTAGTTTTAATTATTTTAGTTGTAATATGTATATGTTCAGATAGAAATGTGATTGCAATGTATTTTAATAGATGTATGCATATGTGTACTGCAAAAGGAACAATTTCGACACTAGATTAAAAAAATGAAGAGATGTTTGTCAGTATGTAGAAAAGCAGAAACATGGCATATCAATGCCGTGCAAAAATTAATATAGTTAATTATAGTACATACTTTAATACTTTGATTTAGAAGTGATAAAATATGGAGATAACGAACAGTATTCAAGCTTAAAGTCCATTTAGACAATACAAATCGAGACCAGAGAAAACACGGACCTCCAAAAAAATCAAAGGGATCAGGTGCCATGTAGGAATGAGCATCTCCTGCCGACCGGTCACACCCGTTGTGTGCTCCTTGTCATGATAGGGAAGACGGAAAATCCGTAGATCATTCAGTGTGTAAATAATGGCCTAACAATTAGTATGAAAAACGTCAGTCAGCATTTGACTTAATGATAGGTTGCATTTGCTGACAAGGTCATTGTATCGACCATAAAACTTGCCAAATAATGACTTCAAACGAGACTGTTGTAACCTTGTTTCATCAACTTGTTTGTCGATAGCTTTCCTCGTTTGAGAAATTGTTCATACGTAGAGCATACTCTTGCGTATCGAATCAACTGGGAGACAAAAACCTCATATGCAGGTGATAAGGGATATTGCTTCATATGTAAGGGAGGTTGACGATTGAAAAATTGAAGTCATCACGTTTATCATAAAGCTTTGTTGTTAGGTTACTATTAAAGTTTTTTTTTCTAGTAAAATATCCATATATGAAACAGAAGTATCAGACTCTATGGTATCTTTTATTTCAAGCTCACTAGGATACAGCGAGTCGACATATGAATGAAAGTAACTATTGTTAATTGATAATACGTCGTCAATATATCGAAATGTCGAGTTGAAGGCAACAGCAAGTGTTTTCGTCTTCTCATGTAGAAGTTTTTGAATAAATTCTGTTTCATATGAATACAAAAATAGGTCTGCAAACAAGGGGGCGCAATTGGTACCCATGGGTATTCCAACAGATTGTTGAAAGACCTGATCTCCATAAACTACATAGATATTGTCAATCAGAAACTCAAGCATCTTTTTTTAAATATCAACTTCAGAGTATTTGTGTGTACAATTAGATTTTTTTCAACAAAATAATTTTGTAAATGACCTATGACAAGGTAAGTAAATTTACGCAAATGGTACCCATAGATATTCCGACAGATAATTGTTGGAAGACCTGATCTCCATAAACTACATAGATATTGTCAATCAGAAACTCAAGTATCTTTTTAATATCAACTTCAGAGTACTTGTGTGTACAATCAGAATGCTTTGTAACAAAATAATTTTGCAAATGACCAATGACAAGGTAAGTATATTTACGAGTTCCATTTTTATTGAAACAGCAGTTGTCTATGTCTATGATGTCAAAAAGCCTGGACTTTAATTTATCATGAAGATTGGTTGTATAAAGTGTTGAAAAGTCGTACGTTTCAATAATATTGATTTTGTTAAAAGATTGTGATTTCAAATTTTCTAAAAAGTTCCTTGGAGTTTTTACTCTAGAAGTTTTAATGATATTAAGAGCCTTAATTCCAAACCAATGATGTAAATTTTGAAAATGAAATAAATTGAAATTCATAGTAAAGTATTTCAATTTACCATATCAAAACTTTGATTAACAATATAATTATAGTGAAAAACTTTGATATTCTATGGAAAAGTGTAATTAACTGGAGTAACTTTTTTTTGGGGGGGGGGGGGGTGTTTGTTTGTTTCATTGTTTTCTTTTCTTTTTCTTTTTTTTAAATTTTTTTTTAAATTTATTTGTTCAAGTGCAATCATTATGGCTTGACAAAATCAAATATAGATTAAACAGGTTGTTGTTAAAACATTAATGTTAGTTATCTGTGAAATAAGACAGATACAGCAACAGAATGACATTTTTTTTTCTTGTCATAACAATTATGGTGATGCGAGACTTGGAAACCACATGAAACCTGAAAGCTAACAATACAAATTCCAAAGTCGATAACGAGAATTGGGTGGGCATATATAATCTCCAAAGAAGAATGAAAATAGAGAATATTAAAACAACTAAGCAAGTGGAAAATACATAATGGGAAATGGGATAGCAACACCGAAGTCTTTGAGGAAACACCGGTACAACATCACTGACTTGGATCACAATCAGCGGTGTGCAACATTACTCACTTGGATCGTAATCCTTCCACTTAATGAACAATAAGATGAGAAGATATCTTGGGGCAAAAGACAGAAAATTTTTGAGAAGAAAATCTTAGTTTGGAGAGAGGTGAATGTTCTTTCTTTCACATACGCTAAAATCTCTGTTATAACACAATTGTTATTTTTTATTCTATGGGTTAATAAGGGATTGACCAACGTTAAAAGTAAATAATTTTTTTTTTGGTTTTGTTTTTTCATGAAGAGCAATTATTTTTTAACTAATGAACTTTGAAAATTTAACATAATGTATTAATAATATATAAATATAATACATAATGTATTAATATTTACATACAGGATACAATTTTTACATCAAATTTTGTAGTAAAAGTATTTTGTCCATTTCTTCATTACTGTTTGTTCTCGTCATTTTGAAAAAAAAAAAGTTTTTTATTAACTCTGACTTATGTAAGTGTATTGTAATTCACGTTTTATTCGTGAGAACTTTATTTTCGCTTAATTACGCCAGACCATCTGTTCGCGAAAATTTCATTCTCGAGTATATTTTGTATATTTTTATTTGTACGTAAAAATGTGTTTTTCTTTTAAATACCAAGATCCCATCTCGCAAAAATAAGGTCTCGCGAAAACTGGTGATCAACAGTATTGAAATCTTTCCAATTTCTTACCTTAATGTAATAACTAAGGAATGAATAATCTTAGCCGTGGGTCCTGCTTGCTATGCTTGTCCATTCCAAGTGTGTCCTCTTCAGAAGCTCTAAGACAAACTCCATGGGATTTTTTTTTAAAATAATATATTCCACATAAAACTATTAAGCTTGAAATTTATGATTTTCTCAAAATGAGTAAAGGTCTTCATTTTTATACATTGTTAAACATTTGTGTTCAGCAAATCTTCAAAACTAAGTATCTTCATGTGTTATGCACGATACAAACGTAATAGAACCAGTATGTAAATGCTAATCCTGCAGCTAGGTGTATGTATAATACTGTGAACGTACTTATTTTAGCGGTAATCATAGTTAGCGCCTTTGGCACTACTTCTTGTCCGCTAATGTATGTACACGCTAATGTATGATTCAAACTTATACATGTCGTTGTTAAAATCTGTTGATCTAATTTATGATTCCTCCTATCTAGGTGAAGATGACACACGCTTAATTTTGAATGAGCTAATTTACACACGTTTACAGTATAACTTCTAAAGTACATTTTTTTTCTTTAACAATTTAAAAATACTACACAGCAAAATGTTGGAGAAGTAAAGATAAAATGATCAAATAAAGCTATATCATTTCCTAAACATTTTGTCACCCCAAAGCCCTATTTATTTTCCTCTGGTATAAAAGACGTAATAAAGAGCTTTAAAGACTATACATGAGGAAAAATTGGCAGGATTTACGCCTATGGGAAACTGTCTTTGACACGTGACCTCTGGTTTGGGTCAAGTCGGTACCCGGACTGACTTCTCTATTGCCGTTCCCTGATAACGGTTTACACCGAGAGGAGGACTCGGAGATTTCAATCATTCTACAGCATGTCTCAGGTAAAACCATTAAATATTCTTTATATTAAATAAATTTGATTATCTGAAATGTCGGAAATGAAGATTAAGGATTTGAAAGGCTGTTTTTCCACAGATTCGATTGTGTCTTTCACCAATATTTGAAAGAGAAACTTCTAACTGTACACTATAAATATCTCTTGCTTCTGTTTTATTTTGTTTGTTTGTTTGTTTGTTTTCTTGTTGCTTCTTTTTTATATTAGACTTTTAAAAAAATCAAATTCCTATTTCTAAGTTTGCACAAATAATGAATTATGAAGAAAACAAAAATATAAATATTCTCCATTGTTTTTTAATACACTCACCGATACTTGATTTAGAATCATAAAGAATTGTTGTAAGTTTGGTTAAAGCTTAATTTTGCGGGGGTCTTTTGTTTTCTTGGACACCAGTGAATGTGTACCCTGCATTGACCCGCCGTCCACTATCTGTCTCCGGCTGTCAGATCTCGGTTCCTCAAGTGTTTGTCAAACACGGACTGCGCAACAGACACTCCATCAGATTGTACGACACTGTTATAGAACTAAATTCAAACGGATTTATATATATATTCTGAAGCTCAACACCATGTTTGAATATAAACTACATCAGTAATTCTTTTTAGATTATGAATTTTTTTTTTTGAAGATACAAATGTATTTTTAAGCCATTTATGAAGCAGAAATCTTAAGTAAGAGAAAGTCTGTAAAATCTTAATTACAAATACAAAAAATATTTTGATTTTTTTTGACGATTTTAGGGATGGATTATAAACATTACTTTGGTTTGCACCTAATAAATAAGTGTATTTCCGGTTCTGATTGGTATAATGGAATTTTTAGAGTTCTTGGTGGCGTTAGGATGCGATTACCAGGATCACCGAGAGAGAACATGTCTCTCTTCAATAATTTCAACAAAAAACAAAAACAAAACAAAAAACAAAAAAAAAAAAAGTTTTCATCGCCAATTTATACTTAGATGCCAATTGGTTTGCAGCACATCATTCATAATCATGATACACCGGTTCATTTTCCATAATTAATTGACATATAATGAAGAAAATGATTGTTTTTTTTTCTTATATTTGCATGAATCTTAGTTAAACTTATATCATTCTTATACCAAGACAAACAGAGTAACTTCACACCCATAACACTGGAATAATATTGGTGAAGTTTGCAAGTAATTTTGGTGAAAAGGTGTGCACTAATAAAATATTGCCCAACGGTTTTTCTCAGCGATGGTTTACCCCCTGATTTTAAACCTATTTAAGAAAACTTAAGATTATAGAATTTACGTGGTTCAACAAATTTGTCAAGGTATTTTTATAAATCACAAGAAACATCGATAGTTACTGCATCTTATCTTTTAATTGATTACATAGATATACATCCATGCAAAGTTTTTGTTTTGATTACTAGTATTCCAAAACGTTTGATAAAAGATAAATCGTATTACGAAGTGCTCCTGCATTTTTATCAACATTGTTTATAAATATAAAAAAAAGGACACATGCACCAGAGTTTTGTAGCCAGTGTATTAAAGCTGACTGGTCGTTCTTCTCTTCGCTGGAATGTCACCCGTAATAACCACAGATTTACCTTATCTGAGTCTATGGCCATTCATCACTCGTGGAAATTTACCAAAATCTTTCCACTTATTCCCACAGGTGCTAAAAAATGTTTGAATGAAATATTGATTTGTGTTTTAGTTTTCTTAGTCAGTTTCCATTGTAGTAATTTATATTTTGAAAAAAATCAATGTATTATACAGTTAATTTTTATTGATAAGATATCCAAACATGTACCTTTCACGACTTCAATTATCTTATGTTCTGAATTATATTTCATAAACTATGTTACTGACTATCAGTCAAACTCAAATTTATTTGAAAATGATACTGAAATGTTTAATACTCTTTTTTAAAAATGCTGATTTTCATCACCTGTATTTTGCTGCACAACTTGTCATAAATTCTTCAAAACAACCATTTTGTTAGCATATAATAATATTTAAAACATCATAATAAGTATGAATTAATCAGTATTTATTTTACAAAATCAGTTTTACACAATGTGTCTCATTGCCTTTGGATAAAGCTCTTTTTGTGATTTGATACAATTAAAAACACATACCTTGACAAAATACAACTAGTATGTAAAGTCATGAATATGAATAAATCATTTGCATCCGTCTTACACACATACCCTTTATGTTCATTCTGTTTTTGAGATATTTTTGAATATGGGTATACTTAACATCAACTTCGACAACTTGGTTATTTCTCTAAAAAAGGTATTTTTTATATCATTCAAAGAATATCTATTTTAATTTGAAGTGCTTCATAGCAGTAAAATAAAAGTTTATGGAAAGTTTTTTTTTAATTTAAATAAAAATCTAGTTAATTTTGTACGATTTTTTTGCCCATTCATAAGTGGCTCGCAGTATTTATTTTAACCAACAAATCTTCCAACAATTCATTGGAATTCCCAAGGGTACTAATTGTGCCCCATTATTAGCAGACCTTTTTCTGAATTCATATGAAGCAGAATTTATTCAAAAACTTCTACATGAAAAGAGGAAGTCCCTTGCTGTGGCCTTCAATTCGACATTTATAGATATATCGACGATGTTTTATCAATTAACAATAATAAGTTTCATTCCTACGTTGTTTCGATAAATCACATTGATCTCGATATAAAAGACACCATAAAGTCTGACATATCTGTTTCATATTTGGATGTTTTACTACAGAAAGACATTGATGGCAATTAAACTGACCAAAAACTTTACGATTACTTCAACTTTTCTATCGTCAATTTTCCTTATTTACGGACCAAAATACCATTAATATTATCACCTGCACATGAAGTTTATGTCTCCCGGTTAATAAGATATGCAAGAGCATGTTATTTGAACGAACAATTTCTAAAACAAAGCAGGCTATTGACAAATAAGTTGTTGCCACAAAGATACCAACAATCTCGTTTAAAGTCAACATTTTGCAAATTCTATGGTCGAAACAATTACCTTGTTTGCAAAGATGTCGGTAAGTCGAATGTTGACAGTCGTCTTTCATACAAACTGTTAGACCAATATTTTCACACTAAATTGTCTACGGATTTTTCTTTTTAACCAGTCAAGACAAGAAGCACACTGCGGGTGTGACTGGTCGACAAGGGATGTTTTTCCTGTCCTATGTGGGGTACTCTTTAAAACTTTAATTTTGTTTGGTTTTCTTACCCAGGGAGAGGTGGCTATCGGGGGTTGGTCTAACCAGATAAAGTTTTCCTTTCCTGTGTAGAGTTAGCTGTAGAACTTTTATTTTGTTGAGTTTTCTTACCCTAGGAGAAGTGACGGTTGTTCTAATCAGAGTTCTTCCTGCCCTTTGTAGAGTACGGTTTAGAATTTTTATTTTGTACGATTTTCCTACCCAAGAAGAAGTGGCTAGGGTGGTTGATCTAATCAGATAGAGATCTTCCTGTTTTGTGCAAGTTATACTGAAGGACTCGACAATTATATTTTGTTTTGTTTTTTACTCAGGGAGAAGTGGCCCGCGGTGGTTGGTCTAATCAGGTAGAGTTCTTCCTGTCCTGTGTAGGGTACGCGGTAGGACTCGGCAATGTATGGAGGTTTCCCTATCTCTGTTACAGAAATGGTGGAGGTAAGGCTCCTCAGATTCATTCTTAATCTCTACAGTTATGTAGGAAAGAATCTCAAAGACATGAAACACACTACAAATTAATATTGACTTTTTTTCTTTCTCTCATAATGACAATTATTTGAAACATTAATAAATACACCGAGTTAGTTTTTTTTTAATTCTTCAGTATGTTTTCCTACTTTTTTTCTTTTCATTTTAGGGGCGTTTCTTATTCCCTATATCCTATCGCTCGCCCTGATTGGCCTTCCGGCTTTCTTCATGGAACTGGCTTTTGGTCAATTTGCTTCTCTTGGTCCCATTACAATATGGAGAGTGTGTCCTCTATTTAAAGGTTTTTTTTTTCAATCCAATACTTATCGTAATTATGTCTTCCAATATTAAAGATAATAAACAGATCATTTGAAATGTTAATTTTTTTGATCATCCGATAGGTATTGGTTTTGCTTCCATTATCATTTCTGCCATGGTGTCCATCAGTTATAACGTGGTCATTGCATACGCCATGTACTTTTTGATCGTATCCCTCGTAAACATGGACACTAATGTCCCCTGGGCTACGTGTGGTAATGACTGGAACACAATCTTCTGCAGAACAGAGACTCTGAAAGTCAGTCCGGGCATGAACGAATCCGAGAAGATAAACGTCACTTTAGGTCAGTTCCACCATTTTATTTTAACATCCTGCAGTTTTAATTGGATTGTTGCGAAAAAGAAGCATCACAAATTATTACTGATTAAAAAGAAGGAACTTGTCGTCGATACTATAAATGAACACTGGATTAACTGAAAACAAGAAAAAAGAGAAGGGGTTGTTAGAGGCAAAAGTGTGCTCTAAACGTACATGAATAATTCTAAAAGTCATTTTGCTTCTTTTCTAATCGAAAGCCCTCGTCTCATAGACTGAAAGAAAGTAAGAAGCATTTTTTTCACTTTTAGGTAATTTGAATAAGACTTGTGTCGATAAAGAACTTAATGGGTTAGGGATGAAACGAGAGGATCTGACTTATAATTTCACCTCAATGAACCTCACGGCATGCAGCATTAAAGACATGATCAGAACACCTAGTGATGAATTTTTCAGGTACGTTAAGTATCCACTTGAAATCAGCTAAATATGGGAGATGATTTCAAGTATTACCTTAAATATGTCATCTGTTTCAGTTGAGAGAGTCACTGTGTGAGCCAAACAAATTGGTCACTGGAGATGGGAAGCCATGATAGATGATATGCTGGACACCAACAAATAATTATTTTGTCTCTGTTTCTAGTAATTTTGTCCTGGGTTTGGACCAGACTGATGGAATTGGTGGGATAGGAGATTTAAGTCCTAAACTTGTGGCAGTTCTCCTGTTAGCCTGGCTTATTGTTTTCTTCTCGTTGAAGAAAGGTGTGAAATCCTCAGGAAAGGTTTGTCAGGTTTTCTCTAAATCCCAGTGCACAACATCACTAGACGCACGTTAAACCCTTCATTTCTCATTCGTTCTTTTATGTAAAGACGCACGTAAAACAAAGAAGATAAAAAAATTATAATTACTGTATACTGACGCAGCTTTGAACCAGATTTGTACAAAGACGTGGAAAATAAAACTTGTATCACAAACAGGAAAATCCTCCCCAGATCCCTCTGCTCTAGTTATAGTATTTGTCTTTGGTGAAAAACATTAATGCACATTTTTCCTAGTTTCAGATATGTTGATTGTACCTTTTTAATATATTCCAGAACATTCCTTTAGTTTTTACCTTGACTTAAACATTTTCTTTTTTTTTCATTAGGTCCTCTTCCAGAGCTGAAAACCAACTATGAAATTTTAGGATAATGTATTTAAAAATTCTTCTCTTCTTGTAACATTAGCTTGAGACTATTTCCTTTTCTCTTTCAGGTGATATATTTCACAGCTACATTTCCTTATGTCGTATTAATCATTCTCCTGGTTCGTGGGGTGACATTAGAAGGGTTCGAGAAGGGCCTAGAATTCTATCTCGTTCCAAAGTTTGACAAGTTGACCGACCCAAGGGTAAATAATTTAACAAAATATACACCATTATGTGTTCTTTATTGTCTGTAAAAGTTGTAAATTAGAACTCTAGTAGACACATGAATACACTCCAAAAAGTGTAACTAAACATTCAGAAGATAAGATACCTTGAGTTTCCTGTCCTTAATCTATGCATCCATCAATCATCCAATTGCTTTCAAAACATATCCATAATGAGATTACATGGATGAAATAAATGCACTTAAAATATCATAACAAGCAGCAATTTAACTTCATGGCATTTGTAGGCTAACACAGCCTCTTTTAATAACATTATAATACCATTACCTATCTTGATGTCTTACTCACTTGTTATTTGTAAATACAGGTGTGGACTGATGCCGCCTCCCAGATTTTTTACTCCCTTGGACCAGCTTTTGGCAGTCTCATCACCATGTCCAGCTATAACCCCTTCAAAAACAACTGCTATAGGTAAGTAATATACTAGTATATATCTTTGCCAAGTACAAGAGGAAGGAACGTGGGGTGTCTTTGAGAAAACCCATCCATCTCTGATTGAGTCGTGGTGTAAGGAGTTGATCCTTACGTCGCGGGTTCGAATCCCACTGCGGGACGTGGAGACCGGTCCTTCGGATGAGACCACCGGCAAGCTGTGGCGTCTCCATATGAGTGAAAAATTCAGGGACGTTAAAGAACAAACAAACATATCTGATTGCAAATAACTATTTATCAAACCATAACGATTTCATTTCGGTGGGAAAATGACGATTTCCTTGCCTGAGGGACACAAATCAAATGTTCAATTATCATTCAGCAATAAATATTAGTTACATGATTATACAATGGTAGCAATTGAATAAGATACGATAATATGCTCTTTCAGTCCTTGATACCTTTCTAAGTTAGTCTATATGTTGAGTTATTTATGCCATTGACAGAGACTCCATTTTGGTTGCCATTATCAACTGTGGGACCAGTGTTTTCGCCGGACTTGCCATTTTCTCCGTTCTTGGGTTTATGTCCGTAGTCACCAATAGACCAGTGCAAGAAGTTGCTGCAGATGGTAAAAATTATCGTTGTAGTTTTCAAAACCAAACATGTAGAGTTATTTTTAGCTGACTGTTTACTACATACGATCATCTTCTAGGACCTGGTCTGGTGTTCATAGCGTATCCAGAGGCGATAGCCAGGATGCCGTACCCTCCTATCTGGGCCTTCCTGTTCTTCTTCATGCTGATATTACTGGGACTCTCCAGCATGGTAACCAACACTCTCTGTTCTTCTCATTCAAATACACGTGATTTGTTTTCCTTGGAATAACTCTCATAAGTTAATTAAATCCTACTTTGGTAAAGATCAAGTAATTACTGTTCTGTATTTGACAGTTCGCCATGGTGGAAGCCATCATTTCGGCCTTAGCAGACGAGTATCCCAGAACTCTCCGCAGACATAAAAGTGTCCTCACATTTGTCGTCTGCCTTGCGTTATTTATTGCGGGACTTGCTTTAGTAACAAATGTAAGTCAAACTGGACTAACAACACATTTATTGTAAAAATACTGCTGCAAAGAAGCCAGATCCTCAAGGAAGCTTCTTAAATCATATTTATTTAGTTTATTTCTTAACTTTTTAAATTATGTTTGAATTTACACAGGGTGGCATTTATGTCCTGACGCTGATGGATGCTTACTCCGGAAGTTATTCCCTGTTGTTTGTCTGTTTCTCCGAGTTAGTAGCAATATCTTGGGTTTATGGTACGTACTATAATAATGGTAAAATCACTAGGCGGCTTTAAATGGACTATGAATTAATGTTTCCCGTAATATAGGGCGTAGGTTTTAGGAAATATTGAGTAAAATATTAATGTTTGTTTTTACATTTCTTTCGGTTGGCCTAGGCTCTCAGAGGACAATTAGATATATGGGTTTTTTCACCTTTTTTTAGGCTGGCGTAGATTTTCAGAAGACATTGAGTTGATGCTGGGTTTTAAACCCAATATTTACTGGATAGCTACATGGACAGTAATAGCCCCCGTGTTTATTGTGGTGAGTTTCTTAATATACTTCTTATTCTGCAGAACAAGAGTACCTATCTCCAGCTTTTATTGTCTACATAATGTTCTATGGAACAATAGTACCTATCTCTCCAGCATTTATTGTGGTGAGTTTTTCAATACATCATGTTCTATTGAACAATATTTACATTTCCAACTGTTTTCTCTATGATGAATATTGCGCCCCGTTATTAGCATACCTTTTTTGTATTCATATGAAGCAGAATTTGTTCAAAATCTTGTACGTGAAAAGAAGAAAACACTTGCTGTGGCCTTCAACTCGACATTTAGATATATCGACGATGTATTGTCAATTAACAATGGCTATTTCCGTTCTTATGTCGATACGATATATCCTGGTGAGCTTGAGATAAAAGATACCACAGAGTCTGACACATCTGTTTCATATTTGGATATTTTACTTGAAAAAGACGTTAATGGTGATCTAACAACCAAGCTTTATGATAAACGTGATGACTTTAACTCCTCAATCGTCAACTTCCCTTACTTATGCAACAACATACCTTCATCACCTGCATACGGGGTATATATCTCTCAGTTGATACGATACGCAAGAGCATGCTCTACGTATGTACAATTTCTAAAACGAGGTAAATTATTGACAAACAAGTTGATGAAACAAGAATATCAGCTGTCTCGTTTAAAGTCATCATTTCGTAAGTTCTATGGTCGATACAATGACCTTGTCAGCAAATACAATTTATCATTGAGTCAATGCTGACTGACGTTTTTCATTCTAATTGTTAGGCCATTATTTACACACTGAATTGTCGACGGATTTTTCCGTTATTTCCCGATCATGACAAGGAGCACACGGCGGGTGGGACCGGTCGGCAGGGGATGCTCACTCCTCCATAGCACCTGATCCCACCTCTGATGTTTGGAGATCCGTGTTTGCTCTGCTCCTATTTTGTATTGTTTGATGGACTTTTGAGCCTGAATACTGTTCGTTATCTCTATATATTTCATGTGAAAGTTATAAGTTTTGCCAAGTGAAAGGTCAAGTGCCTAATATCCTTGTCAGCATTGTGTTTGGCGTCAGTGGGCGGGCACGATGGAAATTTACATGGAATGCTTCGTGTATTTCAATTCTAATAGATAGCACTTTTTTTGTTGACCTTTTTATTTTAATGTAAATATAAGGAATCACTGTAGAGTTTGTTGGGTATGTCAGGGACATTAACGTCCACTGGAAATATGGGTTCTATGCAATTATCGTTATCGTTAATTCCCTGGCATACCCAACAAACAAGACAGTGATTCCTTCAATACTCTCCATCCCTCCAGCGTTGATAGTGGTGTTTTTCAGAATATTATGTTGTATCACCAATCACCCCTTTATGTATTTGAAAATTCCAAATTCTGCTTGTTACTCACGAAAAACATCATATCTACAAAGAGTTACAAGTATACAGACTGAAAGGATAGAGAATTTTTTTTATACATTACGTACATAAGAGCACCACTATCTCCGATGTTAATGGAGCTTAGTTTCTCTGTACATCATGAATCCCCAGTGTTTAAAGCGGTGAGTCCTTCAGTACATCATGTTGAGTGACTTTAGTATATATCATCACTCCACTGTTTACAGTGTGTAGTATCTCAGTATATTATTTCGGATTTAAAGCGCTCCGATTATAATAGGTGATATTCAACAATAAGAGGTGTTATTCAACATTAAGGATTTTTTTCATCATATGTTATACGGGTGCATTCTCGTTACAGGCCATCTTGATAGCAAGTGCAATTCGATTCTCTCCTTCACATTACGAAGACTATCAGTTTGAACAGTGGGCTCAGAACTGTGGGTGGGGTCTCGTGGCGCTACCCCTAGTATTCTTATTCGGCATCGCAGCCATTCAACTGATCCGATATCGGGTAAAGTATTTTTTGTCCGTATTTATTCTCAAATTAATTCTTAAACTCTCATTGACTTCAATCAATTTAGCAACTATTTGAACTAGTCCAATACTCTTTTTTTTACACGTACAGGGTTTCAGGAACGCTACTACACCTCACGATAACTGGGGACCGGCGCTTGAGGAAAATAAAAAAGGAAAATACGCAGCTGGTCACACAAACAAAGGATTCGAGGAAGACGAGAAGACAGAAAAATCTGAAAATGGAATAGAAATGAAGAAAAACGGCATCAATCATGACTCTGTCACAGTGCAATTTTAATACATGATGAGCTTCAAAGATAATATGACTGTATATACAAAATGATATTTCACTATGCGAGATTTAATTTGATATACTTTATATGTCATAATATTCTAATATATGAATAAACTATTCAATATTGTGATCATTACTGATTGAATGCGAACATTTTACTTTTAGATTTCGGAACATGTAATATTGATTGTTATATTTTATTAAATTTTATTTCTGTGATGTGTTGATTACAAATTTCAATGTATTCAATATAACCGATTTCTCTTCGCTAATATTACACGACCACCAATCGCTCTAACTTATATCCAAATGATATGAAAAGGATTTCGTTATCGGGACTTCCGAATATGCGTTGGAGGAACTTTTTGCAATCGCTTCGGGGGTAAGTTAAGCTCTTTTTCTTGTATTTTGACCATTTTTTACACACAAAAAAAAATGTGATTCGACTCCTTTTATTAAGTTATTGCCTCAATGTAGCAGTTTGGGCTGAAATTAGTGTTGCAAAGCTGCTAGAACTTTTATTCTGTGAGTTTCGTCACATAAAACTAACCGGTCGCTTCTAAGATCCACTAAAACAAAGTTGCCAAGCGGTTTTGATGTATGTTATTTATGTCATTATGACCCTAAATAATTCTAAAACATTTGTTCCAATATACGTCCTTCTATCTTCATTAGATCAACAGCTAGGAATGGACCCCCCTCCCCATGATACGAGTTATCGGAACCAGATATGATTTATCAAAAAAGGGCTCAACTTACCTTCGAAGCGAATGCAAAAAGTCCCTCCAACGCATATCCGGATGTCCAGATAACGAAATACTTTTCATATCATTTGGATGTGAGTTAGAACTATTGGTGGCCGTGTATTAATTACCAGATAATGAAAGCATTATATTAACCGTTTATATCAAAAAAGTTTTAAAAACTTAGAACATCAAAGTAAAGAATCTGACAATTCAGAAATTGCTTCACTGTGAGATAAGGACAAATTATTAGGAAATTCTGAATTATCTACGGATTACGTCGTTTATCTGATCAGGACAAGAAGCCCACGGCGGGCGTGATTGGTCGACAAGGGATGCTCACTCCTCTTTGGCACCTGATTTCACCTTCAAAGCCAGTCGACCGTAACAGATTCAAAGCCAGTCGACCGTAACAGATTTGTTTCAAGTTTCTGAAAAAGACTATGATACCTGTTTTACAATAAGAGTACCAAATCAAACTTCCATTTATGAATCTTTCGTGAGTTTCCCAAGTGTTGATAAAACGAAAGAAGTCGTTGAATTATTCAGATCATGTGAGAGGGTTACGTTAATGCTGGAGATGTATTTGGAATAGGTTTCCTGATGTCTATAAGCCAAACAATTTCATCCTTTTTTCTGCTAAAAATCGGTGAGCCTTCCCATACTTCCTATAACAGGCTGACCTTCGAGTAAAAGAAAATCATACTGGGCAGAAGAAGTAAGACAATGGGACTAGCGACGCTTTACATGTATGATTCAGTAATGCAAATCTTATGAACTTGTACTTGTTCAAGTAGTAACAGGCATTGGATCAGGTCTGTGGTTGTCAGAGCAAATATTTGGATTGGTCATCGTTATGGTCGATGTAAAAGGCAAAAGGCATGCTTCAGTAGATACTTGGTCTGTCAAAACATTCTAACTAACATCTCAGATCTCATCAGGGCTTCAACAAAATCAGGAACGTCATTCCCAATGTTAAGACATATTAGAGAAAACGAAGAGCATTGAAATGCTTATTGCAACTACAATATGTATAAAAAGTAATTGTTAACCTTCTTTGCCTTTAAATTCCGTAAGATAATTAAAGAATCCCCCTGTCCAGACACAATGAGAATGTAAGCAGAAGATATATACGATTACAGCACGAATGTGAAAATCCAACTCGAAAGTAAGAAATTCTTAGGGTGTTAGAGAACGGGTATAAAATCACAAGATCAAGACAAATATCACTCCCTAGAGTAAGAAATACTCAGAATTATAGAGAAGGGGTATAGAATCATATACAATCACAGCACAGAGACAAAAAGCACCGGTCTAGAGTAATATAGAGAAGGAATATACGATTAGAGCACAAAGTCAGAAAGTCCCTACATTCAGGATGAAAAAAAGGGATATGCAATCACAGGACGGAGAAAATAGATGTATATAGTGAACCTTTCCCACATACATCGAAAATCTTGAAAAAGTTCAATTATTTGCTGCAAGAATAGTTACTGGACTTACAATTATTGCTTCAAGAAATTCATTATATTTGGAAACAGGTTGGGAACCTTTGGAATACAGAAGAAACAGAGCAAAACAAATAACAATGTATAAAATGCACAGTAATTTAGTACTTACTTATATACAAAATTTAGCACCTGGTACAATAGGCAATATTTCAGGGTACACTACTAGGAATTCCTTAAACTATTCTTTGCCAAAATACAGATTAGAATTGTTTTACAAATCATGTATTCCTGATACTGTCAGAAAGTGGAATTCCCTTAATTAGTCTTAAAGCAAGGGAGGCAACTCCTATTTAACTTTTTGAGAACTGTCTGCACAACAATTGTAAAACATCAGAAATATTTTTCAAATGGAAAAAGGTTTTTGAACATAATTCATAAAAGATTAAGAAACCATTGTATTTTAATCTCTGAATTATTTCGCTGTAACTTAATAACCAGTCCAAATTGTTCATGTGGACTTTTAGAAGATGCATACCATCTGTTTTTCGCTTGTAAAAGTTATGCAAAATCAAGGAATTCCTTATTGAATAAGCTATTGCCATTTAATAATTTATATGTTATATATACAGTACATTTAATGCTATGGGGTGATCATTCTCTTACTAATGAACAAAATGCTGATTTTTTTTTAAGATTATTCAAACTTTTCTAAATGAATGTGGTCGTTTAAAAAAAGCTCAACTTTTTACCAATGTAAATCTATGTTTGTACATTTAAAGAAGATCTTATTTTTATCTATTACTACTGTGTATATTTAGTAGACAATATATACATGTATTTAATTTTGGCAAATTTACGAAATTTTGTAATAAGAGAAGACTATCTAAGTTTTTGAACTTGTGTCTAATCCTTTTGACTCTTTGTCAATAAGATATGTTCAGTTCAACCTTTCCCCGTAAGACTGGTTATATAGTAAACTGTCTCCTGGAGAAGCCTCATTGTATTAAGCTATTCTTCCAAGGGGGTGGGGTGGGGGATGAGAGACTCACAATATAGCTATCCCTTTCATAGCAAGGCCTCCCCTTCCACTTTAGTTTCCGGAAAAGCCATTTATGAACACAACATGTTCTGTACTGTCGTTTCTGCATTTTTAATAAAATCTTCTCTGGAAAAAGTCTTAGAAAGTTAAACAACGATTTTGCATTGATTAAAACTTATTCTACTACTGTTATCGCAAAGATCAAAGAGATGCCGCGGCCATTATTCTCCAAAGTACAATTTATATAGATTACAAGCATTTTATATAAGTTTAAAATTACATGCAAATATAATATTGATAGTTTTCTTGCAGAATTCGATTTCTTACAGCTGGAATAAACGTTGGTAAATTGTGTGAACTTAATCTTAATGACCCCAATGTCCTCTTTCAAAAACTTCGGTTATATAGATTTTATTTTTATAATGATGGAAATCTGGGTGTGGGATGGGTTCAGACATATTTTAATTATTTTCTTTTCACCTCAATTTACATTGTTTAATTATGATATATAAACATTTAAGTTCAAAGGGGAAAACATGGACAGAAAAAGCGGAAGCTGATTTTATGTCCGTGTTTTAGGTTGCAGAAAGTATTCATTATAATTATATTCTTAATCAAAAGGGATCCTGATAAAAATATTATTATACATTCAGATATATATTGCACGAATATTAAATACATGAAACATGTCTACCTATTTCGTTTTTTGAAGAAAATCAGAAATATATTACCAATGTTCTCAGGAATTATTCTTCATTGTGTGTAATTACTAATTATACATGTATGTTATGTCCACTTGGGCCTCATTTGTTAACAAGTTCTATTCTTAATAGATCAATAATTTGAAAAACATCCAAATCAAGTAGGTAGGGGGAAGCCTCGCTATCGTTGGTTGGTGGCTAGCCCTGTATCCATTCTTTCCCCCCGGGGTAAGGCCCAATATATAGCCAGTCTTCCGGGGGGAGTCTCACTCACAAACACTTGGGGGCTGGATTTTTCGTCTCAATTTGCCCTAATATGCTACACCTACGTTGGAGATAACGTATTGTGACGTTAAATGACATATAAAATACGTTATATGAACGTTATTTTTTTCTGTTGTTGATACTTTTCCTAAAATACAATTTATTACTATTTTAAATCTTCAAAATTAATTTTTCATGTTTACATGTATAAGATGAAGGGAGAAAAAAAACTAAACTGGAAAAAAAATTCTAATTAATACGTTGACATACTGTAGAGGCCCCTGGTGACGGAGTTGGGGTTCATTGGACGTAATGTACACGGATGTGATACGCGTTCTATTTATAGTTGTTTTGTTTAAGCCCAATTACTGAATTTTTTAAAATAATTCTGAAAAGTTCATTACTGAGTGTAACAAATCAAGAAACAAATAATAAAAAAAAACAATTCAGATAGTAACCTGACGTGTTTTCCGCTTATGGTGACGGAGTTTGGGTAGTAGGGGCCGGATATACACACCACTGCATAAAGGGAGATAACTCTTTTATTTAAGTCCAAAAAAATGTCATTCTTAATGTATAAAAGTGCCACGTGGAAATAAATGTTGACAAAACTATATGTTTCACAATTAATTGTATGTTAAAGTTAGTAAATTAATAGCGAGCGCAGCGAGCGGCGCGAAGCGCCGCTCGCGAAGCGAGCTCAATAGACTAACGTGTAAGAACAGAGAAAATTCGGAATGAAATCTGTACATACGTCAGGCAAATTTTCTGGGGCAACATTCCCAGAATTCCTTCGCTACCAGGGTTCCATGCGAAATTCTTACAAAACATTCAGAAGACCAAGGATAATTATTCATTACCGAGAGATACGTTTACTTTTCTTTCTTTGCAGAGGGCTTAAAAGAAATAAAAAATAATTACATCCACTCTACAACGTATTTCATTTATTATTGCACAAGATCTTTAGTCTCGTTCAACCAGACGCTCGGCTGTCTCCGTAAATTCCGACGTCATGTGACGTCACAGTCTTGACTGTGTCTCGTGCGGTTTGACGTTTGAAGAGGCGGATCCATCAACGTTAGAAGTGTAAACTGTGTATAGGTTTTTGATGGTACAACTGCGCTCGCCCCAACGGTCACACCGTAAAACATATTAAATAAATTATTAACGTTAGCTTACCAGAAATGAAATTGTCATAAACCCCTCCCTTATCATCCCAAGGATTTTGTCATGTATTAAGACCGTCCTTATACCCCTGTCTTTTGATGAAAAGATTTTAAAAGAAAACATGACAGAGTTGCGGTCTTATTTAATTATTTTAACATTTGATTTTGAAACGATTGAAGTGCTACTTTATCGGAATTGTTTTGTCCGTCTGTTTACGACTTGTAAATTACAATAAGACGCGCATGTGCAAGGAGAGAAAAAAGTGGCTGGTAAGTGAAATAATATTTTGTCAGTTTACATGGATTAAAAGTAAAAGTCTTGTATTTATTAGTAACAAAAATTTAGATCACGTGTGGCTTAAGTGCTTTGCTTATTCGGGTTAATTCTGGGCCAAAGCTCTTTTTTGCCTCTGGCCTACAATGTGTAACGTAGAAATTCACTAGTCCGAGATTCCTCTGACTCTAACCTCTGATTTGTACATTTTAACAATGACATTCCACAATATGAAAGTAGGGATTAGAGTGGGAAGAATATAGCATTACTTATTCACCAATGTTTTAATCGTAAATTTTGCTTCCATTGAATCCCAGCTTTTTTAAGCAAATGTTCTTGTTTTTTTTAATGTATGTTAACTGTAACCCACGTAACTTTCTAGCTTGTTTAACACCTATTCACCGTTAATCTGTTCAATTCATAGAATATAATGTATTATGTGTCTGCTTTAACAAATTTGATTGACCACCGTCACCATGCGTCCATCTCTACTATTTTTGTGACTTTCACCTACACCTGCACATCTCAATCTTTATTGCATAATACCTATAAATTTCTCAAACGGTCATTTAGACTGACATTTACTTGTACTATCAGTTCAGGCAATTTTTTACCAGCCTTGACAACAAGACATCTCAGTTATTGGATATAATTTGATCACATGATCGCAAGTACTTCAACATTGTGAAGCAAGGCTTAGTTTTTGGACAAATATGAGAACATAAAAGATATTTTCAACTTCAAAAAGTGTTTATAATGTTTGTAAATTTCCACTGTTAATAAACAAGACTTAGAGACTTACTGCCCATTTGCTGCACTCCCACCTTCACAATGTTTAAGGGTTACTTTTTACATTTCAATTGCCTTTTATATATTTGAGTCGCATTGACCCAAGGAATGCAGGTGGTTACGTTCCGATGACTTGTTTGACCCGCGTGGTTTCGACACAAATCCATGTTCGACCCGAGTGGTTTCGTTCCAAAGCAATTAATTAACAATTAATTGCTTCGGAACGAAATTAATTAACACTTTCAAAAGTTTTACATTTTATTTTTTCATCTACAATTTTTTTTTATATTGACCACGTATATTTGTCTTAATTATCATATGTAATTAAATTTGGAGAAACGTACATTGTTTAGACAACTTGCATATGTAATCACTGTACATTTGAAGAAGTATTTGATTAATTTTTATGGAAAACTGTTCAAATATAATTCATTACTAAATCAAATTTATCAACATTCATGCTCCGCGATAGTAGAAAAAAATGTTAGGAAACCTGCTTGTTGACTACACATACGGAAACAACTACCTATTGACACACACATCTCTGAAGCCATACAATATACAGCTACCGGATATCCATTTGTTTACCGCTCAGTGTATACCCCTGTACTCAGGTAATGACATGTAGGGATATATATTGGAGTAGATCGAAACCACTTGGGTCGTAACCACGCGGGTCGAACACAGAATCGGAACATAACCACCCGACACAGACCCAAGGTACAATCCTGATCCCTTGTAACAAAGCATAGGTTAGAATTTCTCATGCAAAATATGAAGATATAAAATTTACGTAGCCTGTTTGAGATATTTATTTTTAGCTCATTTGGGTCATAATAACCCTTTTGGTTCCAACCTGTTTAATCAACATTTTTTTATAAAATCTTATGACTCAGGCTTGAACTGTCTTTATTTCGCAGCAGTGTGTAGTGAAAGACAGCTGTAAAGCTACTTGTGAACTAAGGGTGAAACGATTTCATTCGGAAAAAGTAGACTTTTCGATAAATTGCTCTTAACGTTTACGAAGTGAGTAAACTTGTACACAAAGGTTATTACTATCATGAATAAAATTGAATATTTCTTGTTACAATCTGTTGTTTTGCTTAGTACATAAACTATCCAATAAACAATTTTTTTTAAAGAAATAAGATATCATTTTTAAACTTTTATCGGGATGTAAATACAGGTTGGTCATGTGATCAAATGTGAAGTGAACATTTATGCAATGATTTGAAAATAATAAATTGTAAATTGACATTTTTAATTGTTTGTTAAAAAAAATATATTGAATTTCAATGAATCTTAGAGCAACAATTTGAATTTGATCATAACCTGATGTGTTGGTCTTTATTAAAATAAATACGATTGGAAAATATGTTTATCTTTATATAAATGGAGTTGCACTGAACTCATTTTGTGTTAAAAATGATTTTTTTCAAGATTTTATAAAATAAAAAGTTTGGTGCAATTGCACCTAGTACATCTTTCCTTTTGAGAGTCCTTGGATTTTATTAAAAAACAGTATTATATTTTGATGCAAGAAACACATTTTTGCTGACAAGTAAACTGAATTTGTAGGAACTTGCTTACCACTTAGTTAAACTCTTAGTAAGATATTCCCTAATATGATGTCTGTTTTCCAGAACCATGAGCAGCTCTGAGGAGGTGTCCTGGATTTCTTGGTTTTGTGGACTGAGAGGAAATGAATTCTTTTGTGAGGTGATTAATTATGAGATCAAACATACCTGAATCATTTTCTTCAGTATTACTGCTCTGTTAACATTAAAGAAATATTTTGTGGAAGTTTAAAAATTTTGTTTCTACATTTTCCGTGTAACCCTATTTTCCATGGTACAAGGCTAAACAGTTGTCATCTACCCTAGCTGACACTGTTGATCAGGCATTTATAAAACATTGTCACTTTGTCAGGTTAAACAGGTGCAGTTGTTATTTTTTATGTAGGTTGATGAAGACTACATTCAGGACAAGTTTAATCTGACAGGACTAAATGAACAGGTTCCTCACTACCGACAGGCTTTAGACATGATTCTGGACTTAGAACCTGGTGAGTATTCATCAGGAATAATGTTTTAAGACACCTCAGAAAAAAAGTTTCATCAAGAACCATGGAGAAACATTTCTGAATGACAGTCATATGAATTGAGAGAGATCACAGGTTTAATACCTGGTGACCTAAATATCACAGCATTATAACAAAATCTGAAGGAATTTGGAATCCTTTACATTTCCTATGTTCATTTTAAGAAAATCTCTCATGAAATCCAAAGGTCTTTCCATAAACTCTGCATTGTCCCCTACATCTCCCCTAACTTTCTTAGCAAAACCCCTCATGATATCCAAAGGTCTGCATTGTCCCCTACACCTCTCCTAATATTCTCACAACTTTAGGATTTCCTATTTGATGACACTCTTCCAAACTGGAACACCTCTGAAGAATTGGATAGTCCAGGTATATTGTCCATGCTGAAGTTATTAATTAATTGTTTAGGGCAAAATATGAAAGAGTTTTTCCCCTCTGTAATGATATGGTTTTATTAGTTATGTGTAAGGTGAAAAGGGATGCTCATTTTTTCAGGAGAAAACTACTGACATGCTGAAAAAAATAAAAGGGAATATCAGATTATTTTAAGTAATGAACTGTGATGTCAATACAGAGGTTCCTACATAAATGAATAAATAGGCTATTTATATAAAATTTCAGAGCTCAAAACCTATATTTATATACTTGTATATTCCTTTGCAATTTCGCTGCATGTTCAAATAAAAAATATAAGAATTCTTGTAGTGAAACATTTCGGCAGAGTATTAATTCATCACAGTATTTTTTATCAGTTTGGTATAGTTCAAAATCTCCATTTTCGGTTTGGTTCATTTTTTTGATCAGAATTGTTATTCAATAAGAATTGGCATTTGTGAAGACAAGCTATACAGCAATTACGAAAATTTAAAAACTTGATTCTTGAAGAATATTAGTTTTTAGAATAAACATATAACAGTCAATTAATTTTAAACAATTTCATTTGGTCAATTTGCACATTCATTAAGTAACTGATTTTAGTGAAACAAATGAAATGGTTTGGGCAGTGGATATTGGCCTGGGTAGCTCAATCATTCAGTAGAGCACTTGACTAGTGATGCAGGGGTCCCTGGTTCAATTCCTGGTCCACCCATACATTTTCTCCTTTCCTGTTACATGATTTGGTGCCATTGACCACCCCTGAAAATCCTGCGAGGGGCAGTAAGAACTTGAGTTGTGTCTTCAAGGGCGAAGACAATTTAAGGAGAGAGGAATGTAATGGTTTGGGCCGTGGATATTGGCCTGGATAGCTCAGTCGGTAGAACACCTGACTAGTGATGCAGGGGTCCCAGGTTTGATTCCCAGTCCGGCCATACATTTTCTCCTTTCCTGTTACACAAAACTTTTATTCAAACAACTTAGATTTTTTTTCCTTCAATCAAAATGTATCGAAAATAACTGTACTATGACAACATGAACTCCACTATATTGGATAAATTTTTTTGGCTATTTTGATTGACTCTGACTCTTTTATGTAGAGAAATGGTTATTTGATTTACTGGTTATTTTGAAAAAAATAAGCTGACAATTGATTAAGCTGGACCCACTGTATATCAAGAGATAAACCAGCTTGTTGAATTTATTAAATGTGATTTTGTTTGACAGATGATGAGCTGGAGGACAACCCCAATCAAAGTGATCTGATTGAACAAGCAGCTGAGATGTTGTATGGTTTAATCCATGCCAGGTACATTATGACAAACAGAGGAATAGCTCAAATGGTGAGTCTTAAATAAGAAGTTTTAAACTCAATTGGCATTGAGTAATGATAATTGTAAAACAAAATTGGCAAAGAAACTTATGTGACAACTGCATGTATGTTTGAATTTGTCTTTTTTAGATAGAGAAATGGCAGCAGGGAGATTTTGGCACATGTCCACGAGTGTACTGCGAGAACCAGTGTATGCTTCCAATAGGTAAATAGTAGGGATGTCAAAATATTTATTTTCCTTAGTCGATTATTCGATTCCATTATTCGAACGATAGTCGATTATTCGGAACATTTTCTGAAAATAAAATTTTATTTCAAACTTCACTGGTACATGACGTATTTATAACTCAAAAACCCTTTTACTTAAATATGTTTAAAAAGTAACATAAGAATTAATGCAACGTAACGTTTGATAGCATGATTATTTGAAAAAATTTAGAAATCTAATTCTCCAAAATTTATGATTTCCCCATCAATCGAATTCATAAATTGGTCTGTACATGCAGAGTGAGCATTCAAAAATTGCTAGCCGATATTTTTTAAAGCTTATTATGAAATAAATTGGGGGGGGGGGGGGGTAATTTCACACTATCCAAACGCCAGGTGGTTGTTAAATTATTAAACAGTTAGTAACTGCTTATTCATTAATTGATTGCTCTGGCTATCAGAATGTCCTTAATTATTAACAGTTTAAAAATGCAAGCGAATTGTTTTAATAATTAGCGTCAAAACATATCACAGCTATGGTTTGTTCCTTGCATTTGAGCAATCTTAAAATAAAAGATAATTGGTACAACGTATAAAATCAAGTCCAATTAATTATTTTACAAATAAAGCCCAGTAAATATATTGATGGCTGATTTATTACAAAAACAACACAAGCAGTAACTGATAGATAATTCTCGCGGTAGTGAAGCATTTATAATTACTGTACTTTCTATACACACACGGAAAATCAAGTTTTTTGTAGAGGAAAATTATCTTATCAATTGTCTCCGAGGAAAGACGGTTTCTCAATTTTGTAATGAGAATTCCATATCGTTATCACTCTTTAATTGCATTTTTAAAATTATAATATTCGAATGTCGTTTCATTATTCGATCGTCGGTCCATTCGACTGACAGTCGAATAGTCGACTATTCGTTGACATCCCTAGTAAATAGAGCTAGGTGTTGGCTTTAAACTTTCTCAGGATATTGAAGTTATTTGGAGTCAGTTAGATTATTGCTATTGCTTTACATTGATAACAGGATTGTCTGATGTCCCTGGAGAGGCAATGGTTAAGTTATACTGTCCCAAATGTCAGGATGTGTACACCCCTAAATCCTCCCGCCATCATCACACAGATGGCGCTTACTTCGGAACGGGCTTCCCTCACATGTTGTTTATGGTTCACCCAGAGTACAGACCCAAACGTCCCCCCAATCAGTTTGTACCAAGGTAAGAAGTAAACCAATCAAATTGTAGCAAGATTGTATGACCTGTAAATTCAGCCAATCAATTCATACATGTAGCAATGTTGTATGACTTGAAACATTCAGGATTCAGCCAATCAATTTTTATTTTCCATCATCAATCATGACCAAAACAATAATAAATACTTCATGATTTCTTCAAATAATAAATGTTTTATTTTTGAAATGAAAATTCAGTTATATTGTCATTGATATTTCAGAAATAAAATATATTTTTTAATTGAAGAGATTAAAAAAGTAGATGTATTTTTTCGTTTTCATGAAAAAATTATCGCATAAAATGACAACTTCGTCAAAATTTTGATTGAAAGTGGGTTTTTTTTCTCTTGTAGGTTATACGGTTTCAAGATTCACCCTCTGGCTTATAACTTACAGTATCAAGCAGCCTCAAATTTTAAAATGCCAATGAGAATGTCTCATAGCAGTGGAAAACGATAAACACTGATCAGTTAGGACAAAATGTAACATTAACTCTCGGTCACCAAATAAGATAAACATATAGTTTCCCAGGAACTTAGTCATAAATTGTTAAAAATTACTAATTATTACATTTAGCTAATTTATGATTTATTTGTCCAGTTTGAGTAAAAATATTAGTTAAAGAATGGCCACTATTGTTTTTCTTTAACATACCCTATACATTATTAGTAAGTGCTTTTTTAATTTTGATGTCAAAAATACATCATCTGTCTTAATATGTCAGCACAAATTAAGAAGTACATGTATATTAATTCATACAGGAGATATTATTGTCAGGCTTTGTTTGGAATCAACTTCTTATATTTTCTCTTCCTTTGAAGTACCGTACTCACATTTGCATACTATGTGTATTATTATGTTAAAATAAAAGTGCTGTGAATATCTTATATATTTTATGTTATTATTTATGTAGTAAACCTCAGTAGAATGCTTTTTATCCCCTCGCAACAAAGTTCTACGGAATATAACAATGTGCTTGTGTGGGTTGGTGAGCAAGTGCATGTGCAAAGTATATTACATAAGTAATAATTTATATCAGGATCAATATGCTCTATTGCGAGGGGATGCTGCGTTTTGTGGTGCCATTGCTTTTGTATTTACTACACTTTAGGTTACAAGTAAATTCCAGTTCTATTTGGTTCAGGTAGTATTTTTAGCTCACCTTGATAATCCATTTTCAAGTAAATGTAAGCTTGATAGAGACTAACCTTGCATAAATTAAACGTCTTTGGATGCACACTACCAGACATCTTCAGCATAGGGGCTTGTCTTCCGGATTGTTAAATGTAAAATAAATTAATAAAATTTTGAATCGACTTTAAATACACTTAAAAGTTGAAGATTCTGACACTTTTAGTCAAGAAAAACCACGTTTTAAAAAAGATGTACCACATGTAGAGTTTCTGTATATAGGTGTGGTTTTTCTTGACTGAAAGTGTCAGAATCTTTTAAGTGTATTTAAAGTAGATTCAAAATTTTGTTAATTTACATTTAACAATTTGGAAGATAAGCCCCTATGATCTTCAGCTGGTGGACCCGTCCTACATATTCTGGATGAGAGAAAAAAAGGGTAAAAGATTTGGAGTAGGTCATAGATTAGGACACAAGTATTAAATGGGAGTTTTCAGGTTTGCTGACCTAGATATGGCAAGAAATTGGTACTGCGTTTTTAGGTGATACTTTTGTACCCTAGGGTACATCCTTATGAAATGTATGGACAAAAGGGTACACTATTAAGTCCTACTGAAATTCATATATGTGCTGACCTCATAATGGGATTCGATGTACGTAAAAATGCCGTGTTCACAGTAAACTGGTAAATGTCAAACTACAAACAACTAAAATTATCTTCAGAAGTATATAATGAAACATTAAATAAAGCTTGTAAATGGTCTGTACAAATATTCATTTAAATGTAATTTTAAAAATGAAAGGACGTATAAATTCATTGAGAGCTGATATGTATCGGTCTTTAGGGGGTGGGTGGAGTCCGGATCCCCTGGAATTTACAAAGCTATTAAATGTCCATAGTAAAGCAATTAAGCTTGCAATTTTCAAGTTTTTTTTTTTGTTGACTTTTTATTTAACCATGTAAAGTAAAAGCAAGCATTCGAGGATTTAAAAAGATATGATCTCAAAATTACCCGTTTTCCGGCTATTAGTGCGTCCCGCATTATCATTGTAGGGGTTTTAGTAGCTGCTGTACGTTCCTTTCATCAGAATGTTAGTCTGTATCATCCAGACGTGAGTTTATCCTGTTTATGATATTTGATAAATGTTTGCTATAATAATTGCAGTGAAATGCGCAGGATTTTCAAGTTGGTAAAATGAGTGAAATATGTAATTTTGCAGTATACTAGTGCATTTTGTGCAATTGGTAGATTTTTTTTTTGCTTCTCTCACAAACAGTGTGTATTTTACATCATGTGATTTTATAGCGAGCGCAGCGAAGCGCCGCTTGTCACTGCGAGCTTTTACAGGTTGCACAACAGTATTAAATTTTGCTATATATTCTTACCAAAAATGCACAACTTTGAGTAGGTGGTGTTAATTGAAAACAAACTTTTGAGAAATTTCCTTTTCAGATCTTGTAAAACAATTCTTTATAAAGATTTTAGTACCAAAAAATACATAGCCATCCAGCAAGGCACGCAAGTTTGTTTCGGTCAAAGTCGAGCAGGTGCTTGACAAGTCCAGGACCTAATCACTCCCCATTCATTAGTTAGAATAATCTAACTGTGTCTCGGGACAAGCCCTCACCACAGTTAGAATACGTCCCATATACTTGCAATGTAGCAAATCGGAGTGGATCCACTCCGAAATGATTTTGAAGAATACAAAAGGAGTTGCACTGAAAATAACTACCAAATTAATCATAACAAACCTTTTTGAGATTGTATATGCCTTTTAACCTAAAAAATAATCCATATAAATACGAAAATTCAACTCATTTTCTCAACGTTTTTTCCTCGCTTCAAATTTAACGCCATGTTGACATTCGGAACTCTCTGGATTGTTTATAGAAAATGCACAGAGTTCGAGTTATCGCCCGTGTTTATTTTGCTACATTGCCAATACACGGAACGAATTCTATCGTTAAACCGGGTCCGTAGGACAATATCATTTTAACGATAGAACGTTCTATCTACCCATTCATATACAGTATATCAGGGTTCTCCATGGGCCGTTTAACATGGTGACCCCGCCACAGTTAAATTCTCTAGCGCCACAGTTCCGCCACAGTTAAATATTAGTGCTGCAGTAAGATAAATATTTAAATTTATAAATCAAATAAACTTCTTAATTATGTACCGTAAAGGCGTTTTTCAGTTTCTAATGCTAAACTGTTAATGTGCTCTAATTAGGATCTACTGTTTGGTTTTTACAATTAATTATCTTCCAGACCTCGCTAGATACATGAATGAAAAGCGACAAGCCATTGTTTTCACACTTCACGATAATTACATGTACAAATGAATTTTAAAATACCAATTAATTCATTGCTTTAATAGTTTTACAGATAACTCATGTAAGTTTCTTAAATTGCTTTGACACTATGAGTCAAAACATCGTACGTGTATCGATCGTACATATTCATGTATTTTTGTAATGTTAAAAAATTAACAAATAATGAATACATCCACCAAAATATATTTTGATGACCATAAACTCTTTTTTTAATTCACAAGTTTTCACATGTAAGATACTTCATACTAATAATTGCAAGTATATAGACTAGATGTAAACATGACTGGTGACCTACCAGAATTTCGTCTGAACTTTAATGAACACGGCAGGTAAACAATATTATTTTTTGAATTAGGGTTAAATGCTAGAAAGTTGTAATTACTGGTGCTATTATGTGTATTTTCAGATTCTATAAGCTAATATTTGTTTATTTATAAGTACGTATGCGTTGGGAAAGGGGGGGTCTTTTGTCACAGTTATACATATACATTAATTAATTTGTGTATTAAACTATGGATTCATAGGGGCAGTGTGTTTTTTTCAATTTATTTCGTGGTTCCTTCGCAAATTTGGTCGCGAAATGACCGCGAATTTAGCACTTCGTGTAAGTCTTGCACCACAGTTAAATCTGAAATGATGGAGAATCCTGGTATATGGAAAAATCAGCACGCCCTAAATTATAATGAATCTGGTCAATACAGGAAGTTTAAATATTGTTTATCTCATAAAAAAATTCAGCTCCAGTCTCGAGCCAAAATGCCTGAATTGGAAGGGGAGATTCAGGAATTATTTTGCGTCAGCCATGATTTGACGTGAACCTCAAGTGAAATACTGTTACAACAACTGCAATTTAAATTAAAATTTTTGCTTGCCAGTATACTGCTATTTTCCTGATCTGTAATGAATATTTAATGTAATAATAAAAATCCTTCTCAAGGTAGGAAAAATATTGGCGACACTCTGTGACAGGGGTGTTCGGGTGAAAACGGATTTCTAAAAATATGGCAAAAGTTGAACTGTATGTAATGATCTTGCACATTGAACTTTAGTTGTTTTTCCGTCTCACATTTGTAATTAATGCATACTGATTCACATAAGGATTAAAAATTGTTTAAAATAAGTTTGCTTTTTATAACAGGGCGAAAGAAGTGGTCTTTGTCATAAGGAAGGGGGTGGGGTTAAAAAGAGCATTGAAATAATACATATTATTGAAATATCATGGCGTTTTCTGCTTAATTACGATTGTTTTGCCTAAATAATTCTTTTTTCTAACCAGATTTCTTTATCTGTTACCACTGTGTTCCAAATTAACCGATATTTACACATATTCAGAATTTTTGTTTTGCACCGGGCTTGGTCTAAATTCTTTAAATTTATAGATTTTGAAATTGTTTATGAGTAAATAATGTTAACGAGTGTGATGGCAAGGTATTTGTTAGGTGTCCTCTAATTTTCATGCATTTCTCTCATTCCGATACATCAAAATCAGGCCGTTGTGTGGTCAAGATAAATAATTATTTTAGAGGAAATGTGGACTAATTTTCTATGCTCCATTAAACACGAAAGAACAGCAATGACGGCCAAAAAATGCCATTATTTCTCATTTTCCATCTAAACACACAAAATTAAACCTTAAAATTTGAGACTACAATATTTCTAAGTATAAAATTTGGTTTTACTGCAGGTTGCACAACAGTATTAAATTTTGCAATATATTAAATCAATTAATATTGTAATTATTAAGAGGTTTCATCTCGTAAACAATTTCATTTGGCAGGAAGAGAATGGTGACTCAGGCAAGTGTTGTGGCCCATGGGCTTTGTTTTATTTACAGGCTTCACGTGCCTCAAGCATCTGTACTTTGAATAATGTGTGCACTTATTTGTGCACTCAACTCATTAATTTACATGAATTATCTCTGAATTAAAATGATTTCTTTTTTTACATCTCACTAGATATTTGGACTTGTATCTAACCTAGGAAAGGTAACCATGGTGTCATTGGGCGGCCCACCTAAAAAAAGGCAAGTCACAATATTTAGTAAATTATAACTTTGTTTAGTAGAATTAAAACTTTCTACTCCAATTGTGATAATCTTATGCATGTAACTATGCAAAATTTTTATCCAATAAATATATACATTTGTGGTATCTCTCTATTATATAAACATACAGAGAGCAAATATCTTCACACCTGTATGAAGTTTTTCGAAGGTCATAGGTCATTACGTGACCTAATCACACAGCGCAGTAATATCTACATAAAAAGACTTACTCTACTTAGCAATATAGCATGTTTTTCATGCATAAAAATGTACAAAATACCCAAGAAAATAATAATCATTTTATTTACAATGTAAACAAGTAATTAATACAGTTCTTGATCGATTTTACATAGAGAATAGAAAACTACGTGTTATAAATTTCATGTCTGAGCTGCATAGTCTCAACATTTATCCTTATTTTTCTTGTAGACCTCTGAATATATTTTTTTTTTTCATTAAATTTTACTCACAATAAATTTGAAAATCTGTTGGAAAATATCAATGTAATGCAATCACGCCACAAACAGCTGACAAACACTGCACTTCCGAAGTTCGGTAGGCACACCTCCATCATCGAGATCGTTGTCTTAACAATGTAAGCTGTCGCCTGTGTCTCCGTGTCAACATCATAATAAATATGCATTATTGAAATCGTAGATTTTAAGTTTCTGATCAAATTTTAAACTTGATTCCAAGTTAACTGGTCCGGACAAGTATCTCCATTCATCCCTTTCCGACCGAAATTCCTCCAACTTTTTATTATCAAACATCGGACATGTTTCTTGTGTTTTTTTAACATCGAATATGGGTTCTCACGAATACAAAAATTCCCAGACACCAATATGCTCACTATAATTGATCACAAGTAGCCTTTCTCAGAATGTTACCTTCAAAACAGAGTCCTTTGCCAGATGAATTTGAAGCGTAACCGCTTTTCAAGCCGATTTACACCTTGCGTAATTTGTCAAAATCTACGACGAACAGTTAGTGCAATATTTATATTTGATTATATTCGATTGTCCGTCTCAAATGTATATATAAGTAATAAATAACAAGTTTAAAAACTTCACTGGGAAATGAAGTGGGTCAGTACGTGATCAAATCTTCTGAGAAGGCCTTCGGCCTTCACAGGATTTGATCACGTGACCGACCCACTTCATTTCCCAGAGAAGTTTTTAAATTTGTTATTTATTTCTTAAATAGAATAAGTAATTTTTTGACAGAATCTGTTAATATTACTAATACATGTAATTCATATATTAATAATACAATACAGAGAAATTAACATGATTAATATCATCAAGGTATGTGGCATGTACATGAGAATTTGCTTTAGAAGATATATATAGTTTAATGATCAATAATTATGCTGTGTGCCAGTTAGACTTCCCTTAAATTCTGCCTCTAGGTTGATCTCATCATAATAACTAATTGCTCTTTATTTGAAAAGGTAAAGTTTGATTTAAAAAAAATTGCCAAAACATGTTTTGTGAGCTGTATCAATAGGACTGAATGAAGAAGTAATGTATTTGGAATTAATATTAACATTATTTATCAGCCTCAGGGAACTTAATTAGGGCCCTACAAGGATTTGCGGAGTAATCACTCTGCCTGTCTGTCCATGACGTCGTCATTCTTCAATCCACACATTTTCTGTTTTTTAGCTCACCTGAGCCGAAGGCTCAAGTGAGCTTTTCTGATCAAAATTTGTCCATTGTCTGTCGTCGTCGGCGTTGTTGTCGTCGTAAACTTTTCACAATTTCATCTTCTTCTCCAAAACTACTGGGCCAATTTCAACCAAACTTGGCACAGAGTATCCGTGGGTGAAGGGGATTCATGTTTGTTCAAATGAAGGGCCACACCCTCTTTCAAGGGGAGATAATAAAGAATTAGTGAAAAAAATTAATAGCATCTTTTAAAAATCTTCTTCTCAAGAACCACAGGGCCAGGTAAGATGAAACTCATGTGGAAGCATCCTCAGGTAGTGTAGATTCAAATTTGTTCAAATCATGACCCCCTGGGGTAGGGTGGGGCCACAATGGTGGATCAAAGTTTTACATAGAAATATATAGGGAAAACCTTTAAAAATCTTCTTCTCAAGAACAGCAAAGATATGATGAGTAATATTTATATGGAAGCAGGGTTAGAAACTCCCTAAAATTACAACTCGCAAATAATTGCGAGTACCAAGAAAGTGAACTCGCAATTTTATAAGACTACTCGCAATTTTCATATAAAGTTAAATTTATATAAATTAAATACATGTAACTTAAGGAAAAAGTAACTACTGTAGAATACACAAAATACAACTATAGTCTGACTTTTATTTAAGGATACACCAAAGGCTTTTTTCAAGATTTTCAACAATTTTGAGATTTTTGGCTAAGAAAAAGAAGTTAATCACTGTTTTATAATGCATGTAAAATTCTTTGTAATTATGAAATGGTTTTCTAATTATTTAACAATAATGAAACATAAACACTATGTTCCGTTATTGAAGCTTCTGATTTGATCTCCGACTGCCTGCTCATGAAAGACGCAATAAATCACTGTGACCACTTGGGGAATTCTTCACTAGCCACACAGAGATTATCAGTAATTAAACTACAGGGACTCTAGATTTAGAGAAGGAGATCTAACAGATCACTGATGACCATAACATAGGAGGTGGAGCTTAGCTCTTGCCATTTTGCCGGGAAATCTTTCTAATTCAGAATTGAACCTATTTTACTTCATTAAAAGCACCTAAATACAGAAAAGAACCTCCCATTCTTGTGAATATGCATAGGAAATACGGCTAAGTGACAGGTATCCAAAGCTGAATCTCCAAGGTGTCATATATTCCTAGCTTTGGCAGATTTTGTTGTGTAATGGGTTTTTGCCCTCTACTGTAAAGTAAGATCAGACAGTTTGTGGTATTATTTCAAAGGATTCAGCTCCCTCATTTATTGACCAATTTCTCTGAAAATTGGATGGGCTGCTTCTCAAATGTGTGTTCACAAAACCGTATCTCAGATTTTTGATATCTAGCTTAGTTTTGGAATTATTGAGGGAAATGTTATATTTGGCTAACAAATTGGTAATATTGAAGAGCAAATGGCTGTAACTTTTGAATTAGAAGATTTATCAAAAATCTGAGATACAGTTTTGAAGTTCAATCTTTAATCTATCTTGAGGCCAAATGACCACTTTGAGGGGTTAAATACAAAAAAGTTGATTTGTAAAATATTTATGCACTAAAATTTACATTAATATTTAAATAATTTTTAAATAAGTTATTAATCAAAATTTAAAACTAGGATAATTAAATAGTAAATTTAACAAGCTTTCAAATGATATATACTTTTATTATGTTATCTTTGATAATAAAAGAATTACATGCCAGTTAAATTCTAGCATTTGGAAACCTTTGGTGTATCCTTAAATTACTGATTTAAATCAAAAACATTGTGTTCTGTCATATTATATAATTTTGCTACAGTTTCAATGCAAAAAAAATCAACTCGCAAGTTTTTGCGAGTTACCTAATTTTTAACTCGCAATTTGGGAATTCTAACTCGTGTTTTGCGAGTTGTATATAGTGAATTTCGAACCCTGGGAAGCATCCTCAGGTAGTGTAAATTCTAGTTTGTTCTTATCATGACCCCCGGGGGTAGGGTGGGGCCACAATGGTGGATTTCTATTAACTTTAGTTACAGTTGTCCTATTTAGTTCAAATTTGGTATGTTGGTTGAAAAGGCAGTGAGTAAGACATATTTTGGTACCATTTTTGATTCTTGCCTGTTTGCAGCTGGGATGGTGGGGTATATCCCTAATTTATAGGAACATTACGATGAATCATCTCTCATTGCCCATTCAATCTTTATTGTAGACAGTGAAAGCTTCAATATGTCCCTGTGATTAATTAACTTGCCTGGTGCAGGAAACCCAGAGCCTGATCTTAATATACCACACTAAGATTAATTAACACCTATGTCTTCAAGTGGTGTTTTATTCTGAAGTTAAGGGCAATCTTGGGTGAAGTTTGCTATCACAGAAGGAAGGGTGATCATTTTTTTAACTCGCCTCAATGAAGTTGGGGGGAGCTTATGTGATACCGTTGGCGTCCCAGGTTAAACTTTTTGGTGCAGTTTTCTTTTTAAGTACTTCTATGCCCTACATTAATCAGAGATGCATGGAAGATGCTTCTTGTGTGTTTCAGTATACCAGTCAAGGTTTCAGATGCTGCAATTTCAGCTAAGGAAAGACCAGGTTAATGTTTTTGGAGAAGGAAAAAGTTTTTGGTGCAGGTTAAAGTTTTTTTGCTGCAGGTCTCATTTCCAAGTAACTATAAGCCCTTTTAATATTGACCATACTGGCATGGATGATACATCTAAGGATGCACACTACCAGGCTTGCTTTAGATGCTGGATCTGACCTACATTTTCTGGATGAGTGATCAGCATAAAGTTTTTGGAGAAGGTTCATTCTAAATTAACTATAAGCCCTATGTTGACCAAACTTGCATGGATGATCCATCTTAAGATGCACACTACCAGGCTTGCCTTTGGATGCTGGATCTGACCTACATTTTCCGGACGAGTGAACAGGTAAAAGTTTTTGGAGCAGGTTCATTCTAAAGTAACTGTAAGACCTATTTTGACCAAACTTGCATGGATGATACATCTAAGGATGCAGTATGCACACTACCAGACTTGCTTTGGATGCTGGATCTGACCTACATTTTCTGGATGAGTGAACAGGTTAATTTTTAGGATCAGGTTCATTCTAAAGTAACTATAAGCCCTATGTTGACCAAACTTGCATGGATGATACATATAAGGATGCACACTACCATGCTTGCTTCGGATGCTGGATCTGACTTACATTTTCCAGATGAGTGAACATGAAAAAGTTTTTGGAGCAGGTTCATTCTAAAGTAACTATAAGCTCTATGTTGACCAGTCTTGCATGGATGATACATCTAAGGATGCACACTAATGGACTTGCTCCGGATGCTGGATGTACATTTTCCAGATATTGGACCAGGTTAATGTTTTGGGTGAAGGTCTATTACAAATAAACTATAAGGCCTAACTGAACCAAACTTGCAAGGATGATGCATCAAGGGATGAACACTCACAAACTTGCTTCAGATGCTGGATTTGAATTACATTTTCTCAATGATTGACTAGTTTGAAGTTTTTGGATAAGTCTATTTCCAAGTAACTGCAAGCCTTTTCAGCATGTTCAGATCAAAATTGCAGAAATTTTGCATCTTGGGATGTGCACTACTAGATTTTTTTTTTAGTTTAGTGTGGGACTTTGCCTTACTTAAAGACAACATTCGTTGAGGTGAGCTCTGTAATCTCTGATTACCTAAGTTTTAATGTGCAGTACTTCAATCCGGTTCAAATACATATTTTATTGCAAAATAATTTTGTGGAATTCAACAAAATATGATTAAAGATATCACATTCTTATTGCTGCCTTATGTAAATTCATGGACACTATTAACTTTCTTATGTAGTTGGATAATAACTTAATTTTGTCATTGCTGAAAATATTCATATAATTGTAGACTTAGAATAAAAATATGAGAGAGAGCAGTACAATGGATCCCCTGGGATTATTTATCTTGCCTGCTGCAGAAAATACAGAGGCTTATCCCTATTTCTCACTGTAAGATTAATAATTTCCTCTGTCTGATATCTGTTCTGAAGTTAAGGTCAAGCCTGGGTGATGTTTGCATTCATTATTAAAGGTTGGCATTTTATAGAATGCATATTTTTAATTCAAACATATAATTAATTGAGTCATTATTTTTTAAGATATGATATGTTTTACTGCCTTTTAAGAGGACACTATTAATTACCCACATGTAATTGGATTATAACCTTTTTGAATTAAACTGCTGGTTCACATTTAGACTTGCTCAAGTCTCTATGTTGTTTTTTTTTTAATTAAATAATTCTTTGTTCATTTTTGTGTTGTTGTCCTCTGCTCTCCCTCATAGTTAAATGTTATCAAACATAGTTTGACATTATCAAAAAGTATGAAAGAGAGCACTAAAACATAGAGACTTGAGCAAGTCTAGTTCACATTCTTTTTCATATATTTTAAATTTTCTTTATATTTTTTTTAATGGAATTATCATATATTCATCCCTTAAACTGCATCTTTAGATGTAGGGGCGAAACAGCTAAAGTCTGACAACATCGAATGTCGGACGCTCTTCTTTTTCAGAATAAAATCATTACTATATTTAGTGTCGTTTGTATTTTTCTTAAATATCTCTGTTTACAGGGTGTTATTGGTTGTTTCATACAAATGTAAATCATGAAAATGTTTGAAATAACCTCTAAAATTCGGAGGATACGTACGCATCTCACAGATCCGGATAAAAACTTGCATGCGCAACACATAGTGATCCTTAGGAAAATCTTCAGTTTGCTGTTTGTATTCTGTGATTGCTTAATGTATTTTGTAATTAAAGCATACTTTTACATGATAAATATTAGCTATTCCTTTAATAATAATAATTTGGTGGATATTTATTTATAAAAAACCATTAAAATTAAACTGTCCGACTTCACATTCTGGGTCATTTAAAGTCGGACAGAGGAGAATTTAAAGTCGGACAACGCACAATGTATTGTTTTTAATTGTCAATTTTCTTAAAAAGTAGAACAATTTATTAACATTTCCAAAAAAATAATTTAAAAAATATGGTATGGTATGGGATTTGAACCCGGGACCTTATTATGTAATACAATTTACCGGTAATTTAAGAATATTATTGCATTCGCAAATCAAATTCTGCTGATTTGCTGCAACTTTTAGGAAGGAAGAAATAAAAAAAAGATGCATCTACCTATAGAAATTGTTTCATTTCAGAAAAACAATGAAAAACTCCTATAAAAGCAAAAAACATCTCAAAGAATTTTAACAGCAACAGATGTAATTGCAGAGAAATGAGAAATTATGGAACTGAGCAAAATAAAAGAAGAAAAGACCGCGAGAAAGCCTAAAAAAAAAAAAAACAACACGGAAAATTTTTTCATGGCTTTATTTGAGTTTCATGTTTATAACTCAGCATTCAATTTTATTGTTCATTTTGAAAAAAAGAAGTTTCCTTGTTGAAATATAAATTAGTTCCATAGATAACTGATTCCACTTAAAGATTGAAGGATATATAGTTTTCTTCTGTCTTATCATTATATAAATGGGTTTAATTTTGGAAACAATTTAAACCTAAAAAATTATTTACACAATAACGCATTGGTTTATAGATCGCAAGATACTATATGTTCATTTAACTTTCTTGGTCTAAAACGGAAAATTTATCTTAATAATCCATATGATGACTAATAATTTTATTACGTAAATAATAACCTAAATGTTCACGAAGTTTCTCCAGGCACGTAGTATCGTATTTGGAGGGGGCAGCCAAATAAAAAAAATCAACTTACCTGAAGAAAAAAAATGACGAGCAAAAAAAAGGGGGGGGGGGAGAATTGTCCAAATTCGAAAATCCTATTTTGGGGGTTAGTGGGAGGGTTCCAACTTCTTTCAAAACCAAATTTTATTCAAACATTACCAAATTACCCTGATTTGACTATACTGCAACTAAAAAGGTGACGGTGGGGCAATCAGCCTTTCAAATTGAAAATTTTCAATAGTGAAAAGTAATGCTTGGGGAAAAAGTGAGGGGTGCACACCCCCCCCCCTTCCGATGCTACGTGCCCTACTCCCTAACTAAGATTTAGCCTAAAAATGAAGAAAATTATACTTTAAATGTCGAAACCAGTATGTGTCCGACTTAAAATTCTACATGTCCGACTTTCACTGTCGATGTCTGACTTTATCAGCCCTTGCCTTCCCATGTTTGGTTTCGATTTATAACATAACAAAGCTCTTAACCAATGAAAATGAAGAAAAGAAAGAGGATAAAAACATCATTTTATGTGATGTAAAAGTTTCCGGTTATATGTTAAGAGTTTGGAACGTTCACCAAAGGTTCAGACGAGGGGGTCCCAAAAACCGTCCGACTTTTGCTGCCTCTCCCCTATATCCATCTGCGAGGCCCTTGCTGACTGGTCAGTATATTAGTTATGCTTGTCATTAATTATGTCATGCTTTTGTGAAAATATTGAATTACATGAGATAATGTATGGTTTCCAGAAAATTGCGCCCAGGTGAAGAGTACTGGATTCCACAGTTCTGTAAACAGAAAGGAAATGAATTCTTTTGTGAGGTAATAAATTATGAGATAAAGCATGCTTATATCAGTTTACCCAAATATTAGTGCTCTGTTAACATGGTTAAAGAAATATTCTGGGTAAGTTAAACTTTTTTTTTATATTTTTGTTTTAACCCTATTTTTCAAAGTACATGTACAAGTCTACAGTTTTCATTCAAATCCTATGTCTCTGTTGATCTCCGAAATTACGCTGCGTGTAAGATATTTGTAAAATATCATTTTATCATGTAGCGTTTGTTGTTACAGGTTGATGATGACTTCATTAGTGACGAATTTAATCTACAGGGACTCAGACAACGAGTTCGTCACTTCCAGCGTGCTTTAGACATCATTTTGGACTTAGATGTTAGTAAGTGCAAAAAGTGATAAAGTTTGAAAAAAAATCAATTTTTAAGACAATTCAGAAGGAACATTTTGGGGACACATTCCTGAGAGACTGTAATATACTGGTGACTGGTCATTGCCAATGGTTGCATATTTTAATGATTAGCTTAAAGTGTACTGGAATCATAAAAAACTCCTGGAAAAGTCAAGTTACATGTTGTTGACCTGCAGTGGAACCAGACTGTTGATCTCATTTGAATGTATGGGTTTTTCTCTAAGCATATGCAGTGGTAAGAATTCTTAGTCCATCTGTCTGTCTGCCTGTTCAACTGTAAACAATTTTTCAAAATGTGAATCCTCCTACAGTTTTGATCAAATTCCAATAAAAATTGCTCCACAAATTGACTACATTAATATACATATTTTTTATTGGTTTTGGATTTTATTGGTCATTGTTGATATGGTTACTATACTACAAAAAATTGAAATTGTTGTATATTGCTTTCAAAACACTCCTACAGGCCACATGAGTTGAATTTGATTTCATAAATGCTAAATTCAAGGAGAACTCTTAGATATACAATTGAACTCGTAAGATTCTGTAGGCATATGCACACATTCAAACATGCTTGAAGATCCAATAATTTTAAGTATCACTGCCATTTCTTAAGCGCGGGGCCATTGTGGCCCTTCAGGCCTTTGATCAGATTTAGTCAACACATTCTTATTGATATGTTTTTAGTTTAAAATCATTTGTTTCATATTCATTAATGTTTAATTAATTTTTCAATGAATATGATAATAATTAAAACAGCATAAAACTATCACTAATGCAATTACAGAAGAGCTACAGTCTCCTAGATACTTTTTGTTTTATTCTATACAGTACGCCTTCCAATGACTGATGATTCAGAACTCTCAGACAATTCTGAAGAAGAGGAAATTCTTGAGGAAGCTGCTGAGAGGTTGTATGGTTTAATCCATGCAAGGTACATTTTGACAAGAAATGGAATAGATAAAATGGTAATTATATTAAACATCTAAATCTTCAACATAAATAAAATTCAATTGGTGTTGACTGGTGATTATTGTAAAAACAAAAATAGTAAAGGAATATATGACAACAGCTGACCATTGCATGTTTGCTTGAATCTGACTTTTTTTAGATAGACAAATGGCAGGACGGAGTTTTTGGCAGCTGTCCACGAGTCTACTGCAAGAAACAATTTGTGCTTCCAATAGGTAAATGGAGATAAACACATGCAGGGCATCGATATTTTTTTCTCCTTTGTGGTTTCCAATATATAAAACTGACATTGTGAAAAAGTTTGTAGTAACAAGTCTGTACATTTACAAATACTTGCTAGCAATTACAGTTGGGTAACTGAAGTACACTGGACGTTATATATGGGTATAAGGGTACAACATCATGAAGTCCCGAGACCCTTGAAATTAGAAGACACATTCTTCTTCATTGTACCCTGGACTAGAACAAAATGAAATACCAGTAATTGAATATTTTGGTTGGATATGTGTCAAATGGGTTATTTTAAAAAAAGACAGTTTATATATGGATAAGCAATTTGAAAGATGGCAGTGGTAGACATTAACAGTTGTACGCTTGCCTTGGGTAGACATTAACAGTTGTGCACTTGCTTGGGTAGACATTATTACAGTTGTACCCTTGCTCGGGTAGACATTGCTCGGGTAGACATTAACAATTGTACACTTGCTCAGGTAGACATTAACAGTTGTACACTTGCTCGGGTAGACATTAACAGTTGTACTCTACCAGAGTACTCTTTCCCTGGTAGACATTAACAGTCGTACACTTGCTCAGGTAGACATTAACAGTTGTACACTTGCTCGGGTAGACATTAACAGTTGTACACTTGCTCGGTAGACATTAACAGTTGTACACTTGCTTGGTAGACATTAACAGTTGCTTGGGTAGACATTAACAGTTGTACACTTGCTCAGGTAGACATTAACAGTTGTACACTTGCTCGGGTAGACATTAACAGTTGTACACTTGCTTGGGTAGACATTAACAGTCATACACTTGCCTTGGGTAGACATTAACAGTTGTACACATTCTTGGGTAGACATTAACAGTTGTACACTTGCCTTGGGTAGACATTAATAGTTGTACACCTACCTCTGGTTGACATTAACAGTTGTACACTTGCCTTTGGTACATATGTAGACATTAACAGTTGTCCACATTAACAGTTTTACACTAACAGTTGTTGATAAATAGTTGGTGACATTTTTGATTTATTGGAGAATAATATCTGCATCATCTCTTTGATCTTTGCGATAACTGTAGTAGTAGAATAGTTCATAAATGAAAGAACAAATTGAGTACTTGATTTCAATATCTGGATAAGTGATTTCATATTTCCATGAAATATTATGATATAGTTACACCAGCAAAAAAGGTATAAAAAAGTGAGTATTTTTTGACTGGATTTCTACTCTGTATTAAATACAAGATATTTATGAAAAGGAATGCAATAAAATATATATATATATATATATATATATATATATATATATATATATATATATATATATATATATATATATATATATATATATATATAATTAACTTCAAATCCATATTTTTCTTGTGCTGTATGTAATACTGTGGGAACAAAAGATATTGAACACTTGTACAGATGTTTGCTTTAAACTTTCTGCAGATGTCTTAGGCAGTCAAGATAAGTGTTGATTGAAGTATTAACATTGATTTTTATTTGTCGATGACAGGAATTACCGAGAGCACTGAAAAGGAAATAGTAAGAATTTACTGTCCAAAATGTGAAGATGTTTACCGCATAAGATCCAGCCGCCACCGGTTTACAGATGGCGCTTTTTTTGGAACGAGCTTCCCACAAATGTTGTTAATGTTTTACCCTGAGTACAGACCTAAACGTCCATTCAATCGGTTGGTACCAAGGTAAGAAGACTTAAAATGAAAACCAATCAATTTATAGCAAGGTAGTGTGACTTGTAACATCCAACCAATCAAATTTTTACAAAGGTAATGTGACTCAAAGCAATCAGCCAATCAGTTTGTTAGCAAAGTGGTAAGATTTATGAACTTAAGTCTATCAATTCTTGGCTGATAATATAAAAACTTGAAACATACAATCTGTCAAATTGTTGGTAGCTTCTAAGGATTGATCAATCCAAGCAAGTAGATCGTAAAGACATCAATTAATATTGCAATGTTTTATTCTCTAACAAGAGGCCCAGAGACCTTAATGGTCACCTGAGTATAATACAAATCTGTAAAGGATCCATTGATAAGCATATCATATAAAACAAAATAAATTAATAGTTGAAGATATGTTGTTCAAGCACATGAGAAATAGGATGATAGAAACAAAATAGTTTGTCTACTCCAACAGACCCCCATTTGTCACTATCACCAGACAAAACAACACAATAGTGCTTGAACACAAAGAACAGTATAAAATAAACTCTGCACAATCCCTATTACAGTGACCTCTCTTGATCTTTGAATAAATGTTCAAATACATGTATAAGTATGGTAGGACACCGGTACCCAGTATCCATATCATGCCAAGAAGTTGTTTGAAAATTACAGGTAAAATACATTAAGGCCAAAGTTTTTATTTTTTTTGGTTTACGATTTTCTGTCTCAAAAAAATGCATTGGGTGGTCGAAAAATAAAAATAAAAATAATTTAGGATTCAACAGTTTCATTTTAAAATACCAGCAATGTTTATTTTAATAAAAAATAATACACGTCAATAGTACTTTTAAGTTTTATTGTCTAGATCACATAACTCTTTTTATTAAATTTTGATTCATTTCTAACTTTAGACTGAATGTCATTTTCATTTACATATAGTTCTGATTTTTGTTTGTCAATCAGTGCTTGGTTCATGATGTTCAACTTCTTTTTGTGCTCTTCAGTGATATGTGATGTGTTATAAACCTCGGTATCCCCACAAACTAAAAATAAGGATCCAAATTTAAGTTAAATTTAGATTGATGAAAAATACGATTTAATTGTTTAACAATATCAAAAGTAATTGACACTGTTGAAATAAAGGTTATAATAATTTGATCATGCAGCTATCAAATTTAAAGTTCAACCTGCGGCACAATAGCCTAATAATTTCTCCATCAAGTCCTTCTTAAAATTTTTGTTATGTACATGCACAGTAGGCAATGCTCATTATTTACTTAGTAATTCAAAGGGCTTTGATCTCAATTGAGTATGAAATTTGCAAAGATTTGTATATTGAATTTACTTCTATATAAGAATAACAAATGTTTTATACACATTTGAATTTATCCAGTGAAATACCAGTCAGCGTTACTTCAACTAAGATGTATCTCTCAACACTAAATTGGCCTAACTATTATCAATGGATTTATCAGCCTATTTTGGGAAACACCATTTTTGGGGAATTGGGAATAAATTATCGGCTATTTGATGAAAATGGAAAAAATTTAAATCCTGTATTCAGGGGTAATTCATTTAACATTTCAGCATGAACTCTAATTTGGGCAACCAAACGACAATTAAATATGATCCATCTTCATCATACAAGATCAATTATGAATAAAAGACTAATAAAAGTAAATTGGACTTCAATGAGTGTAAAGCATTTATACAACTTAGGGTAGTACATGTGTGTATGAGATTTCAATTTAGGTCATGTAGTATCTGTTTCTGGAGATTATAAACCTCCTGCAAAAAATTATACCAAGTACACATTTTCTAAAAGTCCTCTTTTAATATGTATTAATGCATTGAAAATATATTTTTCTATCTGAAATAATGCCTAAAGTCCTTACCATTCACTCGCAGGTCAATTGAGTAGGTGGAAATAACTTAATAAATCTATATAATTACATAGTATCATCTTTTTTAGAAAAACGGAGGAAATTCGGATTAAAAGTTGGCGATGTTTTTACAGTGTTTTTAAACATGTGTTATGACTGTAGCTTTGCTAAATGAGTTAAATAGATGAAAATTACAGACAGTCTGACAATTTTACTTTGTGATTTTTCAAGATAATTAAAAATAAAAGCATTGTTCACCAATTGGCAAAAAATACTGCCAAATTGGCAAAAACTGAACTCATTTTCAATTGAAAATGGGGCCGAATTTCGGCCCCTGAGAAGGCACTGATAAATCCTTGTTATCTATAGGTGTAACCGTGTCTGCTAGGTCGATCAGGGTTGGGCATAAACTCTCCAATATTACGGTATGAATTTAGCCAATTGAGACATTGCAATTGGAGAAAGGGATCATGCATCCAATATTTTATTCACTTTTTCATGCAGAAAAAGTTCTTTAAGTGTGTGTCATTGCTTTCAGTGAGGAATTACCTTGTTACATGACAGAACCGCCATTTTTGCTTTGCACATGTGTTTATTTACGGTCACCTAAATGTTTGTAAAGGTCTCATATATTTATAAGCGCTTATTCGACTAAGATGCATTCTAAAATTTAAAACCCACCAGTTCAGCTGAGAAAAATCCGGAAAAATATGTCGGAAAAAGTCATTATTTTTATTTTCATGATTGGTGAAAATTAGGGTCGGCGGAATCGTAAACAAATGGAAAAAAAAACTTTGGCCTAAAGTCATTAAATACTGGTACCATATTGGTATTTAATCCTTTTTTCTATGGATATTTGATACATCCTAGTAAATTCAACAAACCTGAATTGTTTTTTAAAAAAACTTTACAAATGTGTTTGTGGCAAGGTAAGGTTGAAATGAAGTATACTAATCCTTGCTTTGTGAGTTATCTTTTTAATTATAATGATTAACGAGTTCACAATTCAATAAAGTATACATTGACACTGCCAATTCTGTTTTGTTTTCATAAAGGATTGCAGATTATATTATCCAATTCCAGCTTGCTAAAAACTGAAACTGGTCACTCCCAAAATTTCCTGTATTCTCTATCAAGTAGTCTTTTAGTGAAATCAGGGTCTTAGACTCTTAGCAGTTGTGAGAAGCAGTTTATATCAAACTTGTTATAATTGTGAATCTAATTATATTGTACATCATTGTTTTAGATCATAGTTTACTTACTTATTAATTTCTAACTTTGTAAGTTGTTTCTTCCCAAAATATTTCAAGGAAAACAAAAGTTATAAAGACATTTATATAATAATTACGTCCTAAAACCAAATTGTTCCATGTTTTCCTGGAACTATAAATAGAAATTGCAGTGAAATTCTTTAAAAAATTACTTTTCATACAGTTTTGGTCGAATTTTAAATAGATTTGGTACACAGACTAAACTAAGGTACTGTCAATTTACTCAATTTGGTGGGGGGGTTAATTTTCGGTGTTTTTGAGGTATGAAGACACCCACAAGTTTATGTCCTCCATGAAATTTATATGTAATTCTTCACATATATTTCTCAACAATTCTTCATCCATCAAATCAAATCCCCACAAACCGGTATTTTATCCTCAAACCAGGAAAATATGTGATTTTACAGTACATCTTTATTATAAATACACACCAACAGAGCTACAGTATCATTAAAGACTTCTGGTTATATTCACAATTGAGATTAATGACATAATTTTCATAGGTGAATAACAAAGGGGAATAATTTTTCTCAGAGTAGAGTACAACTTTCCCTACTAGATCAGTGGAGCCCTGCCCAGCACAGGAAACATTGACCCAGTGGTCAAGAATTTCACAAATCTGGTAGGAACACCCTTGCTCATTACAACATTAATTGTACTCTGTTTGCCTCCTAGATGCCCAGGAGCAGAGAAGAAGATTTTCTCAGAATTAATGCATTTTCACTGTATAATCTAAAGTGCCCAGCCCTAAAACCAGGGGTCAAGAATTTTATCATAACAATGCACTTAAATTGTTTGCTTAATACTCAAAGGCAGAGAAAAAGATTTTGAAAGAATTGATGCATTTTCACTCTATAATCAATCGACCCCCAACCTAACATCAGAACCCCTGACCTAGGGGCTGCAAATTTCACAAATTTGGAGGAGGCACCCTTGCTCCTCATAGCAATGCACTAAGCTTCTCTGCTTAATATACAGAGGGGGGAGAAAATTAAAGCTTTTTTTCAGAATTTATGCATTTTCACAACATGTGTATAATCAACAGAACCCAATCTATTAAGAAAACCCATGACCCAGGGACCACGAATTTCACAATTTTGGTAGAGAGCTCAATGCTTATTGCAGTCATGCCAGAAATTGGACCTTTCTTACATATAATGCATAATATATTGGTAGTATTACTCATCACGTTATATTTTGAGCAAAGAGTCTATTATTGTATTTTCATAATTTGCATCAAAGTGTGAAAATAAGTATTTCCCCCAACAATCCTATAGTAAATGTAACAGTACTGTATTTTGAGATTGTCCTTAAAAATATCAAGACAGTAGATTTTCCTGAGACATTCTGCGTGCACTGAAATCAACGTAGGCTACACATAGTATAAGAGCAAGTTTATCTATTGTAGTTCTTACACACACAAAACCCTAGTTGGATGCCTTTATTGGACTTTTCAGCAGGATCTTTAAATTTCATGAAAATGAAAAAAATCAAAATGTCATTGATCAATCTTTTTTTTCTTTTTTTCAGGTCAAATGGTTTGAAGATTCATCCTTCAGCACATAATGGACAGGATGAAGAAGCTGCAGATTTAGAAAAGAAAAAGAGAAATTCCCATGGTAGTGAAAAACGCAGAAGAGATAGTTACGCCGAATTAAGTTCAATTGAAAAGAAAGTTCTGAAGAAGTTTAGAATGGAAAGGGCAAAAGAGGAAGTTCCATAAAAGTGGAAAAAACAAAAGAGGAATTCCATAGAAGTTGATAAAAGTGAACATTGATCAATGGTTCAGTTAGGATGAAAAAAACAATGCAACATTATCTGACATTCACCAGATAGAAACATCATCAAGTCTTGATGTAGTTTTCAGGGGCCGAGTCATACATTGTTGCATACTAATTATTCCAACTTAATCGAAGATTCAGGGACTTATAGTTTTTGGTCTGTCCATTTGTTTGTATGTTTGTCCATAAATACATTAACCTTGGCCATAACTTTTAAAAGGTTGGTGCTATGGGTTTCATATCTCACATGTGTATCCTTTATGTAAATATTTTTTTTCCTCCTGACCTTGACCTTGTAAGTTGACCTATTTACAAAAAAAAAAAAATTAGCCTTGGTCATAACCTCTGAATGATTGGTGCAAGGGCTTTAATATTTCACTAGTGTATTCCTTGTTAAAAAAAAAAATTAAAATTTAAGTACCAATATTTCTGACCTTCATCTTTGAATTTGACCTACTTTTGTAAAATTTTAACCTTGGCCATAACTTTAAACAGTTGGTGCTAGGGCTTTCATATTGCACATATATAAGCCTTGTGACAAGACCTTTCTCTGGGTACCAACATTTTTTAACCTTGACCTTTGAGCTTGACCTACTTTTGAAACAGCTGCTGTACAGGGTTAGGGCATCAGTGTTTCACAAACACATCTTGTTTTTTTTAAGCTATTTTATCTTTATTTGTACAATATGAGTATTAAAATGAATAAATAGTCTTGATTTTTTTCCCATGTAGCATATGTATATATTTGTAAAGAAACTCTTTTATATGCAGTTAAGAGTTAAAACAGAAATACAACATAAACTCCTTTAAACTATGTTTTACTCTTTATGCTTTTTAACTCATGGGCTTTTCTGATCACCTGTCAACCATCAACTGTCTGCCAGTTCATCTGTTAACTTTTTACATTTTCCACTTTTTCTCCAGAACCACTGGACATTTTTCTCCAGAACTGCTGGACATTTTAACCAAATTTACAACTAAGCATTCTTTAGTAGAGGGAATTCAAAAATGTGGTGGTCATTTGAAAGGAAAAATAATCTTGAAAAGCCAGAAATAGGGTATTAAATCTTCTAAAGAACCACTCAGCCAGAAAAGATGAAACGTTGTAGAAGCTTCATGAGATAGTGTAAATTTAAGTTTGTCAAATCAGGCCATCTTTAAAAAAATGTTTGTTTGCCCTCTCCCAACTGACTTACTAAAAACAGCCCGACTCAAAACTTTTCTATCCTCCTAGAAACAATAATTTTTTTTTATATTCATTCCCAAATTTTCTCAACCCATAATTAAAATTTTAACCTCATAATTTGTAAGTTTTTTAATACCCCCCCCCCCCCCATTTTTTATTATCCTGAGTCAGGATAAGGCAACCAAACATTATTTTAAAGACAGCATCAAAGGTAGGTTGGAGCCACAATAGGTGGGCTAAATGTGAAGTGATGCTCTCAGTAAAGGTGAGAAAAGGTTTATTGAAAAGTCCTCTTCTCAAGAACTATGAGGTAAAAAAAAAAAAAGAAAATTTTCTGAAATGGAGAAAATGCAAGTTTTTTTCAAATCAGAGTTCTCAGGGTATAGTGGGGCCAAAAGTACATCAGAGTTTACATGGGAACATATCGGAAAACGTCTACTGCTTAACAACAGCAAGGCCATGATTAATCTTATTAATATGCAAGCATCTTCAGCTAGTGCGACTTTTCAACATTCTACCATTCTCCAGATAAAGTCCAGGCTTTATAGTATAATTTGGCTATATCGTGGTAATATTTTATGTTAAAATTATGTTTTGGATTGCTGTAAGTTCTTCATTTAAAATACACATTTCAAAATAGGAATTATATAAATAATAGTGTTTCTTTAAAATAATAGTATTTATTCCTCTGTTTGAATTGTCAGTTTCATAATAAGACAAGCCCTATTGATAATCAGAAGCTCCGTCAAATAGAAGACTTTATCACTTTAATGGATATAATTGACAAACTTTCAATTAAAAATTTATGCAGTTAAACTTATTCATTTTATTTGCATCAACATGACTTTTTATAAAAGATTGTTTGTATATCATCTGTCCTTAAATTATTTTATATAATTTTTTTGTATTTTTTCAAAGAAAAGGTAAAAATTGTTTCATTTGCAAATATCCCAGATAGCATGACTATGTTGGGCCAACGTTGGTAAATGGTTGTACAGTTGGCCCATGGTTGGCGTTGGCTAGACAACGTTGGACCAACGTTGGACCAATGTTACCATGTCAATCTTTTCTTAAGTAGCCAACCATGTTGGGATTCTTACGTTTGCCCAACGTTGGTCCAACATTAAGCCACTGCTTTCAGCTATACTTTCTACGGAAGTTGGGATTCTAAAGTTGGCCCAGCGTTGGCCCAACGTTTGTATATGAAACCTTAACAACTTTCATACAGTATATGTTCGGCCAGTGTTACATGCGTTTTCTCTACATTGGTCCAACGTTGTCTCATCGTCGTACTGCGAACTATAGGACGATGTGCATATAAATTGGGAGTATTACGTTGGGTCATTGTAGGCCCAATGTTTACTAAGCCATTAAAAAGATGCATGGTTATTTAAGCTGGTAACAGCTATGTTGGTCCAGCGTTGGCCCAATGTTAGCATGAACATGGTCACTATGTGCTGGGAATGTAATGCTGGCCAAACCGAGGTGCATTTCAGTTTCAAAATTTTATTATAATAAACTGGCTGTTAAAAGAGAAGATATCTTTTTAATTACTCACTGAATTTTGTTTTAAATTGAAATGAAAAAATACTACCAGAATCCAAGTTATGAAAAATAGCAATCAAATCATATTAAAGATTATAATAATGTACGAAAACTGCAAGTAGAAGTTTAATTCCACACAATAAATAGAGTTGTAGATTCTATATTTAGCATCTTGGAACTAAAGTGTTGTGTTTAAGAACTCCAAATAATTAGGTCAGTGGTGAAATTCACTTGCTCAGCAGGGGACTGGCCGGTTACCTAGGAGACGAGCATCTTAATCAGATCTTGCAAACTCAGAGCGGTCATTTTCTTATCACGCCCGCACTGGAACAAAGCATACTTTGTTACTCAAAAAAGAGAAAATGGATTATTTTAGCCCTTGAATTGTAAGTAAAATTGTTATGTGTGATTGATAGAATTTTATGTTTTGTTAAAACTTAACTTACATACAATGTAAAAATTATTGAAGAAGTTATTAAAAAATAACACTTGTTTCAAAATGTTCATTTATATTTACTAATCTGTTTGTAAGAAAAATACTTTATTTAATGGTTTGGTATTTTTAACATTCATAGCAACTGGCAGAGAAAAAATCCTCTGTGTCATATGGCCTTTGATGTAAAAGTATTTTCCTGAAAGACATGGATCTATCATAAAAAAACAACAATCGCATGGACAGGAAAAAGAAGTGGACAATTCAAATGTGATATATGGACAGGAGAAAATGCACAATTAATTCACATTCCTACATTCTACAAGTTTGAAACAGTGGATTCCTATACTAGAGAAATTTAGAAGTGATTATTATTAATAGTGATGTGGAAAATACTTGGAAAAAAAAACAAAAAACATTTGAACTATCCCTTTCCCCCGCTGATTGCATTCAATAATTTAGATTTCTTAATGAAAGTGACCTGAATTCTCTAAAACATTAGTAAGAGGAACAAGTTGATTTTCTAACATTGATTAAATTCATTGTATTGAATGATGGAAATTAAAACAAATACAGGAATTGTGTTGTACTTCTATGATTGAAAGCCAATCATTTACCACGTAAGTTGAATGCGTGTCCAACGTTGGTCCGATGTTGGAGATACAATTACTATATACATGTAGGCCTTATATACATGTACTTTTACAACGTTGGCCCAACGTTGGCCTTTCGGTTACAATGCGACACACATTGTTGGCCCAATGTTGGCCCTACAATTACATGATTACATTACTATGTTGGGCCAACATTGCGCCAACATGTTGGGCCAACAAAGGGCCACAGTGCACTTAGACATTGCGCCAACGTTGTTTGCCAACGTTGGGCCAACAAAGTGTGTTACGTTGGACCAACGTTGTCCCAACGTATGCATGCTATCTGGGTATGACGCTTTAGAGTTTAGAATTGCTGTTAATGACGCACAGTATGAATATGTAATAAAACATGTCAAAAAGATTTGTATAGACTTATGAAATTTACTTTATAAAAAATAATTGGTTTAAAAAATATGAAAGTCATATATGGCGTATTTTTTATAAGTTCAGACTAACTAAAATTAAAAAAAAAATTATATTTGCTTTATTACTTTGTATAAAGATGGGACAAAACTGGCGTGTTTTTCTGATTTCGATTTAATTTCAGGTTAAATAAAACGTTTTTGATTGGTTCATGCAAACTTGTATGAGGACAATCAGAGAGTGCATTTCTAACCCCGTCAAACTTTGTCTATTCGGCAAAGGGTTTATGTGGATCGGAGTGGATCAGGAACCCTTGACTTAGGAAGATGAGTTGAAGACCACAGCTAGTGTTTTCTTCTTCTCATGTAGAAGTTTATGAGTAAATTCTGCTTCATATGAATACAAAAATAGGTCTGCTAATAATGGGGCGAAAATGGTATACCCATAGAAATTCCGACAGATAATTGTTGGAAGACCTGGCCCCAGGATCATGAAACAGACTTAAACTTAAGTCAAATTTTCAAGCCCCTGTAAAATTTTTATTAATTATTGAATTAATCTCAAAATTTGCATATAACAACATTTTTGTGAATCAATATTGAAACATTTTAATTTTGGTCTGCTTGACTTCTACAACATCATAGTATGATCTAAAGATTTTGACTTAAGCTCAATATGTTTCACGATCCCGGTAAAAAATTGATAAACTTATGTCAAACGACAGGATTACGCATTGCTAATGGTAGAAAGGAAAAGGATTGTAAGGGAAATATTACTTTCTTCAATGCAAACGGTATGAGTACCATAGATTATTTACTGACAGACGTGAATAGATTAGATACTGTTTTTAATTTTCAGACAGGAAATTTCAATATCTTTTCTGATCATGCGCCACTTACTTTTGTCATAAAAACTAATTTTTTAAATACAAGTGTCGTATACACTGAAAATATCCAAATATCAGATCCAGGATTTTGTGTAAATCAGTCAAATGGAAAGAAGGTTCTGAACTTGAAGCTATTAGTACAGTAAGAGAAAATCAGGATGTATTTCTGTCATATGTTCATAATTCATTTAATACACAAGAGGGGGTAGATATTTGTGTGGAGAATTTCGGTAAGACACTGTGTGATATTATGACCCCCTTTTGTAAGGTCACTGACGGTCTGATACATACAGAAAGGAAAATAAATAATGACAAACCCTGGATTAATGATATCTGCAAGTCTAAATATCAAGATTACAAAGAAAGTCTACACATATTTAATACAAATAAATCTACTGTTGATAGAAACGCACTTCGTGACAAGAAATGTGATTATAAAAAAAACCATAAAGAAATTTAAGCACATTTATGAACGATACTAGGGAAATAACATGGAATATTTAAGAAAGTATAATCCAAGACAATTTTTCAGGTTATTTAAGAATAAGAAAAAAATAGGTAATGATATAACAGCAGATCAATTTTTTGAACATATTGTAAGAGTGTTTTTGAGAACAAGAACGAATCTAAAAATATTGATGACAGTGTTGAACAGCACACAGCAT